AGGTAGGAACTTCAAAGCAAAGTTCATTTTTCTCACATTGTGTTACCTAGCACTCAAGTCTTGGTAACTAAATAAGTACACTTACCTCCTGTCACACTGTCCTTGACAGCCAAGCTCTATACCGGTTTTGACACCTTATCCTTCGCATAGGCCCGTCCCTTTTTGACACACTTTGATGATGTTGGATAGCCAGGCTTAACCCCTGTGGCATCCTTAGGAGGCAGACATCATAGTTGTAGTTAAAGTCCTTTTTTAGGAAAAAAGGAGACTAAGAATAAGAGCTGAAGAAAGGGGAGCACTCCTTCTTGGGGACACAGGTTCAGCTGGAGAGAACAGGGTTTCACCATGATTACATTTCCTCTTCCCCTGGTTTCTGACATTTCTAAACCCATCTTCACCTCCCTGTGCCCTCCACCCTCCACTTGCTACAAAATGCCAACACAGTCCTCCACAGCCAATATCAGCACCTCCTGCCAGTTTTGCTCATATTCCAATTCTAACATTGGGCTTCTGCTGGCCCAAATCTATGATGTGAAAGGAGAGGCAACAAGGAAAGAAGGGAGTGGGGTGACACTGGGCACAGGGCGACATTGACAGTTTGGCAGGCTGACCTGCATGAGGCTTTGGGCCCTAGAACATGGCCTGGAGTTAGATATGACTATACAGAATTAATGAATCTTCCAGGCATTTAGCCAGTTGACATAATTCTCAGCACCTTGAATGGCTTGGGGCTCCTAAGGGGGGAGGCAGAAATGTAGGCTGTGACTGTCCCTTCCTTAAAGCATCCTACCAACCCTCACTACTCTCTAAGTTCTCTGAACTCACTCACTCACCTGTTGATCTCCCCACCCCTTTTCCTTCCCTGTACTTAGTCCCTTCCTACTGAATCCTTTCTTCTCTTATCAAGACCACATTCCCACAGATGACAAGATTCATGTTCTTGTGAAGACCTGAACAAAATCACCAGGCTGGAGAGCACCTGCCCTGTCCCATGGACAGCAGCTCCCTGGCATCAGATAAGTATGTCATGTGTGACGGAGGCCCAAGACTACCTGGTGTATGTTAAGTGTCACCAATTAATTTTTTAAATTGTAAATGCTGTGCAATCTGAACTAAACTCATTTGAAGATCCAATTCAGAGGCTATCAGTTTTCAAACCCTGGTCTAGAGACTCCCTCACCGGAAGTTCTTGACATGGTCCTGCATGTTGGTAAGGCTCACTGAATAGGACGGTGCTCTTTCTCTTTTCATTACTTATACCCTAGAACCGTGGTTGGCAAACTGCAGCTCGCAAGCCACATGTGGCTCTTTGGCCCCTTGAGTGTGGCTCTTCCACAAAATACCATGGCCTGGGTGGGTATTTTGAAGAAGTTGCGTTAGAAGAAGTTTAAGTTTAAAAAATTTGGCTCTCAAAACAAATTTCAATCTCTATACTGTTGATATTTGGTTCTGTTGATTAATGAGTTTGCCGACCACTGCGCTAGGTTATTCTGGATAGAAGGCAGGAATGGAGGGCCTTACATGAGGTAAGAAAGTGTGACAAAGAGAGTTCCTTTGGGGAGAGCTGTCTCAGGGTTCTGATAACAAAAGTTGAACCATTAATGAAGAGGAAGAATATGCTTTATGCCTGGACATCCTTCTCACCTTGAAGTCCCCAGAGATATTGGTCCCAATGAATGCCGCATGGCTAAAGAGAAGATGGGAAACATACCAAAGAAACTATCCTCTACCAGGGGTCCTCAAACTTTTTAAAGTGGGGGCCAGATCACGGTCCCTCAGAGAGCTGGAGGGCCGGACTATATGAACTACTAATTCCTACTGTATCACCTCGGCTGCGCTCACTGCCCAAAAAACCTGGTGGGCCGGATCAGACTCCTCTGCAGGCCGCATGTGGCCCGTGGGCCGTAGTTTGAAGACCCCTGCTAGACCATACCATTATTTTCCAAGAAAATGCTTCCAACATAAAACTGCAGGAAGAAAAGATGGGGTTTTAAAGAGTATCTGTGGCTTCCCTTCATTCAGCCAAGATTATTACCCCTCCACTCAGTGTAGTGCCTGTAACTTAGGTGATGGTGGGAAGAATAAGGGAATTTTGCAAACTAGCCAGTCTACAAACTTCCAGGACTTTGAGTGGACTGATGGTCAGTTTGCAAATTGAATACAGAATTAGAAGTCAAGGGGTCTTTTCTGAAGAGGTTTGGGCTAATGAGGTCCCTGCTCCAAGGGGAGGCATTCATTCCCTTTAGTGCAATTCTCCTTTTTCAGCCATCTTCCCACTATCTCACCTTGGTATCCAAAGAAGCCAGTGGCTGGGGTTTGTAGCAGGGATGTTGCAAGCTGGTAGCTGATATAGGAGAATCAGGAAGGTAATTTGGACCTAAAATACCATGAGTGAAGAAAAAAAAAAAAGGAGAAATGTAAGTGGAGGAAAGGAGTTAACAATCTACTTCACCTCCTTTCTTTGTTCATCTTCACTCTTCCCTCCTTTCCCACCAGTCTTTTCCATGAGTGTGGCTAAATGGGAGTCCTTTTCCTTCTTGCCTCAAACAGCAGTGTCCTTGCCGTTCCAGAGGGGTGATTCTCAAGGTTATAAATATCTGGGAGCAAGAAACAGAATTTCTCATCTGATAGTCTTATCTGGTCCTCATCCCAACAGATCCTCAGAATGAGTCCTACCTTCCCCTTCAAGAACTACATGTGGAGTTTCTTCCAGCAAAACTGTCCAGTTTCAGATCTGAGTCCCTAGAAATCTGCTCTGCCAGCTACACACACACATACCTACAAACATACATCTCCCCACAATTGGCCCCTCCCAGATCTGTCCAGATCTCACAGCTATCCCCTCAGCCTTTCCCCCCATCCCTGACTTCAATTCCAGCACCTGCCTTAGACTCCCATGCCCCAAAAGATGGTCACAGTCACCGTGCCCACTACCTACAACTCATTTTCGGGATCCATGTTTCGCAGTTGCACCCCATGCTTCTAGAAGTCTATAACACAGAGGTAGGGGTCATGGAGACTTAACTGATCAATTGAATGCCTCCATCTGATTCTTAAAATGAATCATCCAGGCTAGAGTCACAAAAAATGCAGGCTAGTGGTCAGTTGACCTGAAAAAGAATGCAGCAAGGGAGGGGAAGGGCAGTACTCAGAGCAGGTCCAAAAGGGTGTCCATGAAGCCTGCCATGTGCAAAGCCACAGCTACTGGGTTGAGAAAAGTGAACATGATCCTGAAGGAGCTTTCAAATCTGGGACCCAATCTGTATGAGATAAAAAAGTACATGTCACCTGACATGGACAGTCTGTGGTCTCAGCGATTCCTTACAGGCCCTGAGATAACGAGTGGTAAGACATCAGCCTTGATTTTGCCACAGTGGAGATGGCAAGATAGACAGGCTGGTGATGGTAGTGACTGAAGCTGAGAGCAGGATAATGAGCCATGTGCGCCCTGGGGTGGGGATAAGTGGGCCCGTTTATTTTTAATATGTTTTTATTGATTTCAGAAAGGAAGGGAGAGGGAGAGATAGAAACAAATGAGAGAGAATCATAATTGGCTGCCTGACTGGAATCAAACCCGAGACCCTTCAGTCTGCAGGCAGACACTCTATCCACTGAGCCAAACCGGGCAAGAGTGGGCCCCTTTAATTCACTCAGGCTAAATCCTGCAATCCCTTCCTACTGCCCAGCGGATCCCTGAGCTCACACCTATGCTCACCTGAGCAGTGATCCAGGGCAGCCGCAGAAAGAGGAGGATGCCCCAGGGGTTGAGCATGCAGCAGAGCTGGTGGGGCAGGGTGGAGAGGGAGAAACTGAGGTTACCCTCAGCTCTCTCCTCCCTCCCAAAGAAATACCCTCTGAGAACTCTGAGCCAAGTTCTCTCTCCCTTGTCTAGACCCTCAACCTTTGGGAACCCTAAGCCACTATGACCCCCATAACCCAGTGGAGGTGCACTGGGGCTTTGCCAGGCCCAGCCCCCACTATCTCTCATCGTGTTGGGAGTGTGGTTTGGTGTGGGGCCCCGCTACAGAGGTGGAAGCCCGGCTAGCCCCTGACTGAGACAGCAAAGATGAGGCTGAGGTGCCTAGACCCCTCATCAGCAACCAGGAGGAAGGCCAATAGACCTGGAGGTTTTGTGAGGGTGGGGCTTGTCAGTCTCAAGGCTTTAATGGAGGGTGGATGATGGCCCAGAAGAGAGGGTTTAGCTAGTCTTTGGTGTTCACTGTGGGGCATGTGTCTCACTGTGGCAGGGCCACATAGGGTCTCCAACAGGCAGCTGCCTCAGTCCCAGCACCAGGGAGTTGGCATAGAACTCACAGTGGGGTCCAGTGTCCTCCTCCTTGGGGAGGTGAGGCTGGAGCAGGGCCCGCCTCAGGTATGTATCCACTGGCTTATCCAGGAATATAGTTCCCCTTCTTCCTGGTGGGGGCTCAAGGTGCTGGCCGCCTCTCCGTGGCAGGAGGCCATGAAATGTCTGAAGTGGGGCACAAGGGACAGAGGCTAGGCTGGTCACTATGGACCCTTTCTCTGGCCAGGATAGCCCCTGGCTGGCTGCCTTTCTCTGTCAGATCGTTTTTGGGAGTGCAACCTCTGGTCAGTGGGGGTATCCAAGCCTCAAGTGGAGAGCAGGGACAGCCACGAAAGCAGAGGGATTGCTGTATCCTTCCCCGCATCCCCTGCCCCTCCCTCCAACCGCCCCCATGCAAACACCACCCCTCACACCGGAGTCTTAAGGAACTCTGGCTTCACTCCCTGGTTAAATCCACTTGTCCAGTGAGTCTACTCAGCCTGGACCAGCCTTTCTATCTGCCAGAGAAGCTGGCGCAAGCAGCCCTTGGCCTGTCCTACCTCCCTGGTAGAGGGGAGGGGAAGGGTGAATGCTGCCCCTTCTCTAAATTCTTTGTCCATGGATATCTGCAACTGCGTGGATTTAAAGGTCTCAGAATGAGGAAGGGGCATTGTCCTGGGCAGAGGGAGTGGCTGTTGGTGTCTTGCCCCAAACAAAATTCTAAAGTGTCCCTAGCGTAGCCAGTCTAGGACTCTGGTCCCCACTTATCTATCTGGTGGTCACCCCGACGACCTATGAAGATACAGGGTTTTGGGTCTCACTCTCACCAGGGACCCTACCGCGATCCTGAAGCAAACCCCCTACTGGGGGTGGGTCACCTGGGGTGGTAGCCCTAACACAAACGCCTTCCTTTTCCCCACCCATGACGGACCCAGCCAGGTTTGCATTTCACATCGGTACTCTTCGCTCCAGTTTCATCGACCAGGGAAAATGCAAGTTAAAACCCAGGAATGACCCCAAACATGCTTCACTCCTCTCTCCCCGGTATCCGCGGGTCTACCAGCACAGTCCGCGCCCACCCGCTCCAGCGCGGTCCGGTCCGGAGGAGCTGCCTTTCCATCCCGGCTCCCCACGCCCAGCCCCCGCGCCTCCAGCATCCGCGTCTGCCTCGCTCAGCGGCAGGACATGACCTACAGACGGATGGGGATGGGCGGTCATCTCAGGACCGGGCCCAGGAGGATTGGGTGTCGGGCTTCGCACACCCGGAGCCCAGGACCGGGCCTGCCAGCGCCGGCTAAAATTAGCGGATGCGGCCGCTCGCCGGGTTGCGGGCGAGTCCCCGCCGCCGCGCTGCCCGGAGCGAGCAGAGCGAGTTGGAGCGAGAGGGTGAGCGGACGCCGGCGCCTCGGAAGGTGAGTACTGGGGTGCGGGCGAGACGGGAGGGCCCTGAGCGGGTGCTGGATCTTTGCACGCGCTTCCTGCTGGCTCCGCTGCACCCCACGAGCCCCATGCTTGCGCGGTGTCGCCTGGCTGCTTGAGCCGTGGAGTGGCGAGTGGGGCTGCGGGTGAGGAACTGGTGCGGGGCGGGGGGCGGGGAGACGGTGCGGGCAGGGTGTGTGGAGGGACAGGTGCGGGGGCGGGAGAGGGTAGACAGGAGGGCGGGCGGCGGTTTGAATGGTTTGAGGCAGGGAGAGATACTGACCTCGCCGGGCTGGGGGCAGGGGTTCCTCTGACCTCCTGGGTAAGGTGACCAGACGTGCCGCTTTTGGCGGGACAGTCCCGATTTTTAACAATTTGTCCCGCGTCCCGCGGCGTTTTAAAAAAAAGTTCCGATTTTTGGAAAGAATCTTTTAAATCTTTTGGACTTTTTTTTTTTTTTTTTTTTTTTTAACGCTACGGGACGCGGGACAAATTGTTAATAATCGGGACGTCTGGTCACCTTACTCCTGGGTCAGCTCTGACCTGCTCTTCCTCCTCCCCCCCAGCCCCTGCAGCAACCCGGTGAGTGAACTTGGGCCATGAGCGTCTCGGCCTCGGAACGCCGCCCCGCGGACCGGGGGCGCGTCTCCCTCCCCCTCCGGAAGGACGGCCGTGGCCTCCCCTCGCCCGGCCGGAGGAACCCGCCCTGGCCTCAGACCCCGGACGACGACCCCAGGTTGCCCCCTTTTCCTCTGGAAGAGCCTGGCCCCCGGCCCGTGGCCCCGGGGGACCTTCCCTCTCCCACCCTGTCCCTGGAGGAGGAGGAGGAGGAGGAGGAGGAGGAGGAGGAAGATGACGAGGAAGACGCGGCGGAGCCCGAGGGGCTGCGCAGCGAGGAGCATCCCGGACAGTTTTTCGCGGAGGCGCGGCGGCTGCGGGAGCAGAGGCAGCTGCTGGATGAGGAGGTGTCCGTGGAGGGGCGCGTGTACGGGGTGCACCGCGTGATCCTGGCCGCCGTGAGCAGCCTTTTTCGAGGCAGGCTGCGGGACGGCGTCGGCCCGCGACCCCCCTTCAGCCTCGACGTGGCCCCCAAGGCCTGGGAGGCCGTGCTGAGCTTTGCCTACGAGGGGGTGCTCAGTCCCGCCCCACGGGCGCAGGTGCTGGTGGCAGCCAAGGCCCTGGGAGCACCCCGGGTGGAGGCCGCGGCCAGGCGGCAGCTCCAGAAGGCTGGAAGCTCCCGGGACGAAGAAAAGCAGCTGCCCAGCCCGGCGGAGGAGCTGAGGGAGAGCCTGCGCAGCATTGAGCTCCTGTACCGAGAGGGCGTCGGGTGTGACCTGGAGCTGGAAGCAGGCGGCTGCAGGCTGAGGGGTGAGGGCCTGTGGGGGCATTCCTTACTGTAGGTGCAAATGCTACCGGAATGGTGTGTGCAAGCAGCAGGTGGTTTGATCCCTACCACAGCGGTTTGATCTCTGCTGCAGTCACAATTCCTCTGGAGGGTCTTTGGTGCCTCTCTGGAGCGGCTGGAGAGTGGAGCATGCGCACTAGGATTGTTTGCTTGTGAGCACTGACAAATTTAAACCGGCTCTCCACGCGCTGGCTTCCTGGGCCCAGTCACAGGGAATGAACAGCCAGCTGGCTGGAGCTAAGGTGCAGCCATTGCCAGTAGGGCAGGCAGAAAGCGATTGCCTCAAACAGGAATTAACCAAAGGCCCGTCTTGTATTTAGGACACAGGAAAAGCCAGAGGAGCATGGTGTGTCCTTTCACCTAAGTGTGTGCTTTCACCTCAGTGTGCTGGACAGCATGGCTGATGTGGTCCTACAGCTAATGAGCAAGGTCTGGTACTGTTTTGCCAGAATCTTAAGGTTCTCAGACCACTGCACTTTGAAGTTAACTCTGCTCATCACCAGGAAAGCTAAGGAGGGTTGACTAAGTGGAGTTCAGACGCTACTAACACTTGGTGAGGTGCTGAGTACCATGAATTGTTACATTTGCTCTCTCTTTTAATTCTTGTTGAAAACTAGTGAGGTAGGTACCATTATTCCTAGGTGCAGGTAAAGTACATTAAACTAAGACATGTTAATTGGTGAGAACCAGGATACAAGTCTACATCCACTAGCCCAGCCTACTTTCACTGGGCCATGCAATGCCTCCTATGCAGCCAAGCCAAAGACACATTGGAACTGGAGTTGGAATGCAAATGCAAATGTGTTTAAAATTAAAAGGGATTAGTTTAGAGATTATCTAGTTCAGCTTATTCTTTATTGATAAAGAAATCAGATCTGAAGACATGTCCAAAGTCACATAGCTACTGCTCATGAGAGGAATGACTGAGACCCAAAGTGCTTCTGGGATTCCCAGAAGGAAAAGCAGTCTGTCTTAGTCAATTTGGGCTGCTGTAACAAAACTAACAACAACAACCACAACGAACTACCAGAGACTGGGTGGTTTAACAACATAAATTTATTTCTCACGGTCCTGGAGGTTGGGAGTCTAAAATCAAGGTCCTAACATGGTCAGGTTCTGGTTAGGGTCCTTTTCCTGGTTTGCAGAAAGCCACCTTCTCACTGTGTTCACCTGGTAGAGAGGCACTCTCATCCCTACTTACCTCCCAAAGGCCCCACCTACAAATGTCATCATATTAGGGATTAAGGCTTCAACATATGAATTTTGCCGGAACACAAACATTCTGTCTTTAGCAGATTTCTAATGTGCTTGTTATCACTTCTGATAACACCAGGTAGAATACACGGAGGGGGGATTTAAAATCTCATAGTTATAAAATCCCCACTAGGGTTTGGAATTTACACACTGTTTTCATTTCTCTAAGAGACATTCCAGCTTAATCATGGGAGCCTGTAGCTTAAAATTCTAGAGACTGATGATGAATAAGAAGAATACAGATGGTTGTGAGCTCTTTCACAGTTGACTCTGAGCTATAGGTTGACTGGTGACATGGAAGATGAGATGGCTTACCTGTCCAGCGGAAGACAGATTCTCAGGCAATACTATATGTGAAAGCTGTCACTGATGTTTACCACTCGGGAAGCACCGAGCCACTACCTACTGCTTACAAAGGCAATGGAAAGCCATAGCAACATCTCCTCCCCGTTGAGAGAGATGAACATGGCAAAGCTGGTCAAAGCAGCCTCAGGTTCATAAACCTCACTGGGAGCTTGGCCCTGTGTCACCTGCCATAGGAGACTTCAAGGAGCTTCCCCCCACCCTCACCCCCTTTTAAATTATGAAGCATTTCAAACACTTAGCAAAGTAAGGAGAATATTAGGATGAACATCCACCCCAGCTGGTTTGGATCAGTGGATAGAATGTTGGCCTGTGGACTTAAGAGTCACAGGTTCGATTCCTGTCAAGGGCATGTGGTGTCTCTCACATGGATGTGTCACATGGATGTTTCTCTATCTCTGTCTCTCCCCCGTCTTTCCACTCTCTCTAAAACTCAATGGAAAAATATCCCTGGGTAAGGATTAACAATAAACAAAAACAAACAGACAAAAGAGATGAACACCCATCACCTACCCTTAACAATTAATATTTTTTAAAAATATATATTTTATTGATTTTGTACAGAGAGGAAGGGAGAGAGATAGTTAGAAACATCGATGTGAGAGAGCCATTGATCAGCTGCCTCTTGCACACCCCTTACTGGGGATATGCCCACAACCAAGGTACATGCCCTTACCCGGAATCGAACCCGGGACCCTTCAGTCCCCAAGCCAAGGCTCTATCCATTGAGCCAAATCGGTTTCCACAACAATTAATATTTTAATTTACTTATAAATCTGTGACATTTCACTCATAAATACTTGGGTATGTTTTTCTTTAAAAGAGAACATTTTCTCATATAACCACAATACCTTTATCAAATCTAATAAAATTAATAACAATTCCTTAATATTTCTTAATCCCCATTGAAATTTTCCTACTTGTCCAAAAAATGTCTTTTAGTACTGGTTTGCTGAGCCCAGGAGCCAATCAAGGACAGTGCTGTATACTCAGATATACGTCTCTTAAGGTTCCTTTCCTCATGCATAGTCCTCTTCCCTTTTTATGACTTGAGTTATTGAAGAAACAAGATTAGATACCCTATAGAATGTTTCGTTTTCTAGGTTTGTATGTGTTTTCCCTCATTTAAAATGCTTTAACATGTTTTTATTAATTTTAGAAAGAGAGGGAGAGAGAGAAACATGGATGTGAGAGAGAAACATCAATCAGCTGCCTCCTGAACATGCCCACCAGAGATGGAACCTGCAACCTGGATATATGCCTGATCGGGAATCAAACCAGCGACCTTTCGGTGCACAAAAAAAACAACTGAGACACAGCCACCAGGACTCTCATGGTTTTAATTTTTTCCTTTAGCCTCTCAAATTCTTATAAATTTGAATTTAGAGCTAAAGTCTTGATTAGATTCAGGTTAAATATGAGTCAGAATACTCCATAGGTGATGCAAGACCTCAAGTTGAGTTATGTTAGGAAGCATTTGAAATCTAGTTGTTTAACAGCATCTGTTTTTTTGTTTGTTTGTTTTTTGTTTTTTAAATCAATCTTTATTGTTCATATTATTACAAAGGTTCCTCATTTCTTCCCCCTCCACCAGGTTCCCACCCCACTCTCTGCCCCCTCCCCATCCCCCATTGTCCTCATCCATAGGTGCACAGTTTATGTTCAGTCTCTTCCTCCCTCCCTTTCCCCAATAGTAAATCCCTTTTCAGATAGTAAATCAGTTACTTAGCATTTTCTCATATCAATAATACCTCCACATGCCCAATGATACACTTCACACAAAAGACATTTCCAAATAGGTCAACCTGCCTCATCCAGGCCCCACCCAAGGCACTCACAGATCAACACCCCAGCGCTATACTAACTCAACACATCCAGATCTAAGCCTTCATCACTTGATTCAGCAGACCCTCAAGTTCCTGCAAAAGTTTCCAGCCATGTCTGAGAGGCAGCCGTGGGGCAGGGGCAGGCGAGGAGCGTGCTGTTCCGGGCCTGGCTGCTCCGGGCCTGGCCTCTGTTGCTCTGGTTTGTTCCACAACCAGCTGCTCCAGGTCTGGTCACTGCCGCTCCCGACCTAGTTGCTCTGGACTTGGCTGCTGCTGCTCCGGGCCCGGTCACTCCAGGCCTGGCCGCTCCCAGCCTGGCAGCCGCTGCTCCGGGCTTGGCCGCTCCCAGCCTGGCAGCCGCTGCTCCGGGCCTGGCCGCTCCCAGCCTGGCAGCCGCTGCTCCGGGCCTGGCCGCACAAGACCCGGCTGCTCCGGGCCTGGCCGCTCCCAGCCTGGCAGCCACTGCTCAGGGCCTGGCCGCACCAGACCCGGCTGCTCCGGGCCTGGCCGCTCCCAGCCTGGCAGTCGCTGCTCCAGGCCTGGCCGCTGCTCCGGGCTTGGCCGCTCCCAGCCTGGCAGCCGCTGCTCCGGGCCTGACCGCTCCCAGCCTGGCAGCCGCTGCTCCGGGCCTGGCCGCACCAGACCCGGCTGCTCCGGGCCTGGCTGCTCCCAGCCTGGCAGCCGCTGCTCCAGGCCTGACCGCTCCCAGCCTGGCAGCCGCTGCTCCGGGCCTGGCCGCTCCCAGCCTGGCAGCCGCTGCTCTGGGCTGGCCGCTGCTCCGGGCCTGGCCGCTCCCAGCCTGGCAGCCGCTGCTCCGGGCCTGGCCGCTCCCAGCCTGGCAGCCGCTGCTCCGGGCCTGGCCGCTGCTCCGGGCCTGGCCGCTCCCAGCCTGGCAGCTGAACAGCATCTGTTAACAAGACAGTTTCAGTGTTATGAGGTCACTCATGCAGATAAGCAGGGTATGATACATGGCAACCTGGCATCAGTGACAGTGGATGGTAAAGATCTGCCCAGAAAGCCACTGTATGGCAATAGAAAATAAATCACTTCTTGCTCATTTTCTTACCTTAAAGGGAGCAATTTAACTAGATGATTTTTAAGGTTTCCAGTTTAAAATGTTATGTTCCATAAATAATACCGAACTCTAGCCAGTTTGGCTCAGTGGATAGAGAGTTGGCCTGTGGATGAAAAGGTCCTGGGTTCGATTCTGGTCAAGGGCACATGCCCGGGCTTGATCCCCAGTAAGGGGTGTGCAGGAGGCAGTTAATGATTTCCTCTCATCATTGATCTCTCTCTCTCTCTCTCTCTCTCTCTCTCTCTCTCTCTCTCTCTCTCTCTCTTTCTCTCCCTCTCTCTCCCTTCCTCTCTGAAATAAATAAAAATATACATTTTTAAAAATACTGGGATGTGTAGTGGGGATGTGCAGAGGAAAGCTAGAACAGATGGGAAATCTTAAGCACTAAATCTTGGGCAAGAGGAGATAGTAGTTTGAGTAGGTTGGCTTATAGCCCTCCTGAGTGTCATAACACTTTTTTGAGTAAAACCTGAGTAACAGAATGGCTGATGTTAGTGGCCCTTACCATTGTCAAGGGAAGAATTTTATTCTGTACACAATATAGAGACCTGTACAAGTTGCACATTGGTCTAAAGCATCTTCTGGGTTTGATCTATCAAGACTTTTTCTAATTGACCTGGATCAAAAAGACTAAAGCAATGTTTACCAAAGTATCTTCAGGCCATTAACATGAGAGTCATGCAGGGTGCTTGAAAATGTTAAAATAAAAATTCTAGAAACTCCATTCAGACTTTCTGAATCAGCATCTCCAGAAGTAGGTTCTTGAAACCTGCATTTTTTTTTAAAAAAAAGAACTATATTTTATTGATTTTTTTACAGATAGGAAAGAAGAGGGATAGTTAGCAACATCCATGAGAGAAACATTGATCAGCTGCCTCCTGCACACCTCCTACTGGGGATGTGCTGGCAATCAAGGCACATGCCCTTGATCGAAATTGAACCTGGGACCTTTCAGTCTGCAGGCTGATGCTCTATCCATTGAGCCAAGATGGTTAGGGCTGAAACCTGCATTTCAGCAAGTACCCCATTGTATTCTATTACACATCACAGTTTGGCTGTTGGCCTTGGGTGGCTGATTTAAAGTTGAGGCTGTGAACTTGGGGTAGTACCCAGCAGTTTGCAAAACTGGATCCCCATCTCCTTCTTCTCCCTCTTGCAGTGCACCGAGCAGCCCTGGCCTGCGGCAGCGAGTTCTTTGGGGCCATGCTCCTGAGTGGGATGAGGGAGTCCCAGGGCTCACAGGTGTCTCTGCGCACCATCTCTGCCCAGGACCTGCGACTCCTCGTCTCTTTTGCCTACTCTGGGGTTGTGCGCGCAAGATGGCCAGGACTGCTGAGGGCTGCCCAGGCGGCCCTGCAGTACCAGAGCTCTTCCTGCCTCGCTCTGTGCGAGGCAGCCTTGGCTCGGGGCCTCAGCCCCGCCCGTTGCCTGGCCCTCTTCTCCATGGCGGAAGTCCCTGGATTGGAGAGGCTCTGGAGCAAAGCCCGAAGTTACCTCCTCACCCACCTGCCCGCGGTGACCTTGTGCCCTACTTTCCCTTCTTTGCCGGCTGCCTGCCTGGCTCAGCTCCTGGAAAATGATGAACTACACTTGCAGGAGGAGTTTGAGGCCTTTGCAGCCGCTCGATGTTGGCTTGCGGCCCACCCGGAGACCCAGGAGCCAGAGGCCAGGGCCCTGCTCCGATGTGTCCGCTTCGGCCGCATGTCCACCAAGGAGCTCCGGAGAGCGCGGGCGGCCGGGCTGCCCCCACCGCTGCCCCCAGACCTGCTGCTGCAGCTGATCGTGGAGTCGGAGGTGCCAGGACGGGAGAGGTGGAGGGAGCCTGACCAGGCTCTGGTGGTGATCGGCGGGGACGGGCTCAGGTCGGACATGGCCATAAAGGAGCCCTCCCGGGGCGTGTGGTGGGCCCGGGCCTTCCGCTGCGGCATGGGGCTGGTCCGGAACGTGGAGTGGGGCCGGCTGCCTGCCCTGCCTGCCCCGGGACGCTTCCGGCATGCGGCTGTGAGCCTGGCAGGAAGCGAAATCTACGTGTGTGGGGGCCAGGATTACTACAGCCACGCCAACACCTTGGCTTCTACTCTCAGGTATGCACCCCTCATCTCCCCAAGACCCGAAGGCGAGCAGCCAAGGGAACTTGCTGGCCAGCCATCCACAGACCCCCAGACCCACTCTTCCTCTCTCTTGTCACACTGTGTCCAGGTGGGACCCCAGCCAAGAGGACTGGAAGGAGATGGCCCCTTTGTGCCAGGCCCGGAGTTTTTTCCCTCTGGTAGTACTGGATGGACTACTGTATGCCCTGGGTGGACGAGCCAATGGTGTTGTCCTGAACTCTGTGGAGACCTATGACCCTGAGCTCAACGTCTGGAGGTGAGCAGGGAAAGGGGAGTTGGGGGGTAGGGGTGGGGGTGGCGAGTTTCTAAGCATCAGGGAGAGACTAGGAGACTTGGAGGAGGAGAGTCAAGGATGATTGTTGCCTGATCATGTACTCTGTTCTCCCTTAGGCCAGCACCTGCACTGCCAGCACCACGCTTTGCCCATGCAGCGGCTGTTTTGGAGGGCCGATTGTACATAAGCGGGGGCTGCAATAGCACTAGCCAATTCCTGACCTCATTACTGCACTATGACCCAAAACTCGAGAAACCAGGGACACTCCTGAGGCCTATGGGGGTAGCTCGAGCTGCCCATGTCATGGCTGCTCTGGGCGGGCGATTGTATGTAGCAGGTGGGTTAGGTGAGACTGGGGACCTGCTGAGCTTTGAATCCTATGATCCAAAGACAGATAGCTGGACTCACCTGGTGCCTCTGCCCTCCCCCCACGTAGGAGCTGCAGGGGCGGTGCTGCAGGGGGAGTTCCTGGTGCTGGGGGGCTACAGTCACCTTACTTACGCCCTCTCCCACCTCATCCATGCTTATTGCCCTGGCCTGGGCCGATGGCTCTGCCTGGGAACTCTGCCAAGGGCTCGGGCTGAGATGCCTGCCTGCATCCTGACTCGGCCCACAGTGCAGCACGTAGGTGTAGGTCCCACAGGGCACCAAGCCAAGCCTGCCGGCTGAGCATGGAGCAGCAGCAGTGGATGGGGGAGGAAGGGGTAAGCTATAGCATGAGAGAAGGACAGAGATGAAGCAAGGACAAAGAGAAGTCTTTTTTCAGGGTAGTGTTTTATTCTAGTACAGTGCTTTACAACTCATAAACTGCTTTTGAATATATGATCTTCATGGAAGAAAAGGTGGCTCCAGGTGGTTGGGCATCATTCCATGCACCAGGAGGCTGTTGGTTCGATTCCCTGATCAAGGACACATGTCTGGGTGTTGGGCTCCAGAATTGCCAGGGAAAGGGCGTTGAGGAAGGGGAGCAGCTAAATACCTCGGTACGAAGAGGAAACCCAGAAGCAACTGTACAAGGTTTGGGGATCCTGGTACTATTTCTAGCAGGGAAAAGTACATTTAGCTGGAAGATAGTCAAGAAGCTCCAGTAGCCATGGTATAGGGGCTAGGAGAGGACAGCTGGGAAAACCATGATTCTGACCCATGGAACAAGGAGTAAATCATTTAAAGGCTATCCATGAATGAGTTTGAGGAGTTAGGAGCATGGGGCAGGGAAGACTGTAATTGTTAAGCCCGTCCCCTTTTCAGTTTTTGCTCCTCTCTACAATCCAATTTCTGATCACTGGAATCTTTTGGACAATATTGTTTCTCAGGTGACTTGTAGGCCCAATCTAGCGTTTCCTCAGTCCGGACGCCACAGGCTGCCCCTAAGAGCCTCTGGTACTTAATCTGCGGCAGAAGTTCCCATCTGGACCTGGCATAGAACAGGGGTGAGATTCCAGGGCGCTGAGGTGGGAGTGCTGCAGGTGGGGAAGATGAGGAGGAAAGAGGCAAAGTGGGAGGCACCACAGTGGAAAAGGTTTTGAGGTGATGGGGTAGAAGAAGTCAGAAGCTTAACTGGCTTCCTTCCTTGCTTTGGAGTCAATTGAGGGATTCGGAGTGAAAGGAGAACAGTGTAGAATGAGGTTGTAGGAGAAAGCGGTAGTGAGAGACAAAGAAGACATGGAAAATTGGTTTTCCTCTGTTCTGTGCCTTTCCTCCAGACTTTTTTTTAAAAATCAGTTTCCCGTTTTCTTGGCCAGGGAACATTGAGTCAGATGCTTTCTCTCTCACTTTCTCCACCCTGCTCTTCTTGCCTTTTCTTCTCCTCCTTTCTTTCTCTCCTCCTTTCTCCCTCACAGTCATTTATTCCTTACTATATGTCAGGAACGATATGGGACATTAAGGACACAGAGGTCAGAGAGCTCCTGACTAGCAGACAGACTTGTAAACAAATACTAGTTTTTCAGTGGATTTAGAAGTATGGACATTTCCCTCACACCTCTCATACACACTTAGCCTTGGAGAGCCCAGAGGATGGAAGAGTGAACTTTGCTCAGGGAAGGCTTCTGTTACAGAAGGCAGCATCATCAGGTGGGTGTAGTTTGAACTGGATCTGGAAGGCTGCTGGTTCACCATTCAGAAAAGGAGGAAGGCATTCCTGACAGAGAAAGGAAGCAAGTGGGGAAGGTAGCGGTCTGTGTCTCCATAGCAAAGGGGAAGTTAGAATTCCAGTGGTTCTTCAGAGAATTCTGCTGCTGTGGCCAACCGTCTTTCTTCTCAGGAGCCTTTCTGAAGACCATGGTTTTCACTTAATGATTGTATATTCCCTCCTTCCACAACTCCCCCTCCTCCCACCCCCCTAAAAATTTTTTGTATGATATTTCCATTTCTCACCCCTGAGCAGTTTAGGACAAAGGGCAGGTTCTTTGCATAGATCAATCTTCTGCTGCCATTGATCATTAAGAATCTCATACTCCTAAGGGTGAGAAGAAGGAATCTCATTGTACCTCTCTTCATCCTGGCCCGAGGGGTACTTGAAATGTTTGTTGTTTTAGGTATTATTATTTTATTAAAGTTATTTTCTATAACTGTTTGGAAGCATAGTTGAAAATGAGGAGGGGTAAATAGGATTTTTAATAGAAAAGAGAAGAAAGATCAAAGAACAGAGGGAAATAAGGAAATTAGAAGCATTGAGAAACTATAAGAATTGAGTCTTGCCCTGGCTGGTGTGGCTCAGTTGGTTGGACATCATTCCATGCACCAGGAGGTTGTTGGTTTGATTCCCTGGTCAAGGACACACGTCTGGGTGTTGGGCTTGATTCCTGGTAGGCGGCATGCAGGAGGCAGCTGATAGATATTGTGCTCTCGCATTGATGTTTCTATTTCTCTACCTCCCCCTTCCTCTCTAAAAACCAATAAACTATTCTTAAAAAAAAGAAAAAGAAAAAAGAAAGAATTGAGTCTCTAGGGTGAACTGTGAACATACGTTTATAATTTGTATGCAAAGATAGGCTTAAATAAAGGTTTTCCTATGATTGGATCATTCTTGTCTGAGTTTTATTTATTATAAAAAGCATTTAAAATTCCCTGTAATTTGACTTCTGTCTCTAACACACTACTGAAACCATCCTCCATCATTGTTATTATGACCCACTTCTCACCAATCAAATCAGGAAAGGCCATTCTCATCTTACTCATGTTTCGGCATGAAAATTGGCTCTTACTCTAAACATTTCCCCTCCCCTGGCTCCAGCTATAGCACACTCTCCTGAGCCGTCTTTCTTCAATCCAAAGAGGTGACAGAAAGCCAAATCATAGTGTCCAGAAGGACATGGCTCCATCCCAGGTGAAGCTGACAGACAAGAATCCAAAAGTATACAGATGGGAGCAGATAGTTGTAGAAGTCTCTGGCTTTCATTATTTAGTTTTAAAATTGAGAGTGGAGTGAGAAGAGAGGAGGAAGTCTCTGATTTGAAAAAGGACCCTGGTCAATGATCCACTCTTGAATGAGAGGGATCTGATCTAGGCCATTTAACAGTTGGGTCTCTGGCCAAGTGGACTGAGATTCAGGATAGTAATTTGGACCCAAAAGGAAAGTACAGTAAGAATCAGGAATTGGAACAGAAACCATTATGGACTGGGGAATCATGGCAATCCAGGGATTAGGCTACAGTTTGGTGCGTGTTTAGAGCCTCCAGGACCCCCAATCCACAGCATGGAACTCCTGAGGCCCTTACAAGAGGTAAGAGATTATCTGATTGTAATACATATTCTAATCCCTCCTCTATAGATCAGATAGTTTCACTTTCTCTTTATGAATTTGCCAAAAGCTAAAGTAACAATGCCAGCCTCTCATCACCTAAATGATTACACAGGTCCAGCAGATTTCACTGCAGTCTCCAGAGTGTGCATAAGAAAAATAGCTCAGCCCAAATTGTGTGGCTCAGCGGTTGAGTCAGGAACCAAGAGGCCACCAGTTCGATTCCCAGTCAGGGCACATGCACAGGTTGCAGCCTGATCCTCTGTGTGGGGTGTGTGGGAGGCAGCCAATTGATAATATTTCTCTCATTGATATTTCTATCTCTCTATTACACTCCCTTCTTCTCTCTGTAAAAATATCAATAAAAATATATATTAAAAAGGAAAGAAAAGAAAAGAAGAGAAAAGGAAAGAAAAGGTGGCTCAGCCCTAGCTGGTTTGGCTTAGTGGATAGAGCATTGGCCTGTAGACCAAAGGGTCCCGGGTTCGATTCCAGTTAAGGGCACGCACATTTGTTGCAGGCTCCTTTCCAGCCTGGGCCCTGGTCATGGCATGTGTAGGAGGAAGTGCAATTAATTATATAGATATGAGTTTCCAGATACATTTTTCATATAAGTAGGCATCTATCTAAGCTAACCTATCTCCCCAAATAAGCATTTCACTACATGGAACTATTTCAGAGTACCAATGTGTTAGGAATTAGGTGATTTAAAAGGTTTAAAGAGAACCCTGCTGGTGTGGCTCAGTGGTTGAGTATTGACCTATGAACCAGGAGGTATTGGTTCAATACACAGTTAGGGCACATGCTTAGATTATAGGTTCAATCCCCAGTGGGAGGCATGCAAGAGGAAGCTGATTAATGATTCTCTCTTATCATTGATGTTTCTATTTCTCTATCCTTCTCTCTCTGAAATAAATAAAAATGTATTTTAAAACATATATAAAAGGTTTAAGGAGAATAGGCTGACTACAATGTAATTTGATGTAACCTAGGGTTAAATATTGCAAGTGTGGTATACCAATTATCTAATGCTGCATAGCAAACTGTCCCAAAATGTAGTGACTTCAAATAACAATCATTCTATATAATAAAAGCCTAATATGCTAAGGGTCTGACTGTTTCATTCAACAGTTTGACCAGTCGCTATGATGTGCACTCACCACCAGGCGGCAGATGCTCTGACCAGTAGGTTAGCTTGCTGCTGGGATCTGGCTGATTGGGACTGGGCGAGATGGGCTGAACATACCCTGGAGCCAACATCCCATGGTCCTTCCCAGTCTCTAAAATATTTCTTCTAATTAATTTCCTTTCAATGTGCATGAACCTGTGCTATATATAGTTTTGCTATATTTCTCATGATCTTATGTGTCATTGGTTTCACTTACAATTAGGCAGGGTTCAGCTAAATGATTCTTTCGTTCCATGTTCACTGATGGAAATTACTTGGTTGTACTGAAGTGGTAGATGGCCTGGTCTGGAGGGCCCAAGACAGCTTTGTTCACATGTCTGGTGCTCTGATGGGAATGGATGGAAAGCTGAGCTCAGCTGAGATTGTTCACTGAAGCACCTATATGTGATCTCTTCAGCATGACAATCTAAGAGTAGTTGGACCTACTTGGTAGTTCAAGGCTCCCAGAACGAGTATTCCAGATTCCTGGGAGGAAGGTCCAAGGGGTGCCAGAATGTCACTTCTGTTACAAATATTGGTTAAGCAAGTCACTAGGTCAGTCCAGATTCAAGAAATGAGCAATCAGACTCCACTTTCCAATGGGAAAAGAAGTAAAGAACTTGTGACCTGCTTTAATCTACCATATCTGGTAAGGAAGACTAGTCGGGGAAGGATGGCTCACAGGGAAACATAGCCCTTGAAGGAAGGTGAAGAGAGATGTCAGTAAATGTCAATAGGCCAGAGACCAAATAAATGTAGGTTTGTTTTGAGTCAGAATGGAGAAGGTCTTAATATTTGAAGTTCATGTAACCTGCTGACTGGCTTCTGGCACTTTCAGTTGGTCCCAAAGGGATATCAAGTACTACGGAGTAAGTGCTTGTCCACCACGGCCTGTGCAATGCTTTGAAATTGGCAGTGATTAGACGGAACAGAAACACAAGCTGTGAATCTAAAGGTAATTATTCACAAAGGGGAAAAAACTGTGGTGGAACCAATTGGCCTTTATAATCTCCAGGCTCTCACTCTCCTCTCCACTTCTTATCAGAAGCCTCCCTTCCTAGTTCAAAGTCTACCACTCCAGGAAATTGCTGAAAATCCCTCCTTCATATAACCCTGTAGTTTCTTCCTTAGTGGAATATAGTACTTCACAATACCCACCTCATTTAAAAAATTTTTTATGTATTGACTTGTGAGAGAGGAAGGGAGAGAGAGAGAGAGAGAGAGAGAGAGAGAGAGAGAGAGAGAGAGAGAGAGAGAGAGAGAAGAGGGAAACATCGATTTCTTGTTCCATTTATTCATGCATTCATTGGTTGATTTTTTTTTTTTTTTTTTACATTTTATTGATTTTTTTTACAGAGAGGAAGGGAAAGGGATAGAGAGTTAGAAACACTGATGAGAGAGAAGCATCAATCAGATGCCTCCTGTGCACCCCCTACTGGAGATGTGCCTGCAACCAAAGTACATGCCCTTGACTGCGATTAAACCTGGGACCTTTCAGTCTGAAGGCTGATGCTCTATCCACTGAGCCAAACTGGTTAGGGCCATTGGTTGATTCTAGTATGTGCCCTAACCGGGGATCAAATCTGAAACCATGGAGTATCAGGACACTCCAAACAACTCAGTTTTCCGGCCAGGGCTCCACTTTGTATTTTTCTGACTTTTGCATTTATATGTCTCCTTCCTGAGACCATGAAGACTTTAGAAGGAGGCATGCTGTATACATTTTACACACTGTTCTTCATACTTGATAGATGCTTAATTGATGTTTATTGAATCAAAGTGGGGGAAATAAGTTTGCAATTAAACTGACTAGAAGAGGTGAGCAATTTTACTTGTCCCAGTACGGCCTTCAATAAAGGGGCTTCTAGCCCTAGCTGGTATGGCTCAGTGGATAGAGTGTTGGCCCATGGACTGAAGGGTCCCAAGTTTGATTTCAGTCAAGAACACATACCATGACTGCAGGCTCGATCCCAGGCCCCAGTTGGGGTGTGTGTAGGAGGGAACTAATCAATGTGTCTCTCTCACATAGATGTTTCTCTCTCTCTTTCCCCCTCCCTCCACTCTCTCTCTAAAAATCAATGAAAAAATATCCTTGGGTGAGAATTAACAGAAACATAAAGCGGCTTCTAAGGGCTGAGGGCATTTCTTGGCCTCCGAAAGAGACCAGTCTGAACACTACACTCATCAATTAGTTCAATGTCACTAATCAACAATTAGGGGTGTAGGCTGCATATGGAGATGAAAGTGAGTTTAAGAACTTGGAAATAAGAAAAATAAACTCTAGGAGAGTTACTCCAAGGGGGAATAGAATGTCTCCTCAACTCTGCTACAGTTATTTGATTGGCAACCCCTACTCCCCCCGATTGAATCAATGACAGTAACCTGAAGGAAGGTTACTTCACCTCAAGAGAGTAGCTAGTTTAGAAAAAGCAGGATTAAAAGGAACAAATATTGGCAATATCTTTTTAGCATTGCCCATGAGAAAGAAAAGACCTTGTAAACATCTTGCCAGTTGAGAGATTTTCTGTTGCAAGGCAAAGATAGTTTATCTGGCTCCCTCAAAATCCAACTGAAATATCCTTTAAGGATGTCCACATAAGAACAACCAAACCTGCCGAAACTGGTTTGGCTCAGTGGATAGAGCGTCGGCCTGCGGACTGAAAGGTCCCGGGTTTGATTTAGGTCAAGGGCATGTACCTTGGTTGCGGGCACATCACCAGTAGGGGGTGTGCAAGAGGCAGCTGGTCGATGATTCTCTCTCATTGATGTTTCTCTCTATCTATCTGTCTTCCTCTCTATAAAAAAAATCAATAAAATATAATAATAATAAAAAAAAGAACAACCAAACCTGTAAGGAATTTTTATAATATTTTGTTTGAGCCAAACTGATGACAATACCAGGACTTAAGACCTCAAATGCCCCTGAGAATGAGTGTCTTTTATACATCTGGAATTAAGGATGGTAGTAAGAAAGATTATATGAAGATGGGATTATATACAGGATAGTCAATCATATTATGTGCTCTCTTGAGGGTGGTTACACCTTCAAGAGGTCTGGAAAAAGAGGATTACTCTGAGATCTCAAAGGTGTGTTAACCTAAATGCACAAAAACAACAATGCCCTTGATCAGAATCAAACTCAGGCCTTGTGGTGGGTAGGCTGAGGCTCTATCCACTGAGCCAAACCAGCTAAGGCAGGATATGACATTTCTTAGCCCCTCTAGTAGCAGACCTTTATTTTTTTTCCTCCAGGAGTGAGGTTGAAAAACCCTAGGTCACCTTCTTGGATTCTTATTAGGCAAGTTACCAAGAACACTGCGAGTAGCATACAGGGAGCTTAGCCAATGAGCGGTCAGAAAACATGTTTCCTTTGCAGCTCACACACAAGCAGGCCCTCTCCCTCTCCCTCTCCCTCAGGTCCACTCTCTCTAAAAATCAGTGAGAAAATATCCTCTGGTGAGTATTAAAAACAAAACAAAACAAAACAAAACAAAACAAAACACAGAATAACAGGCCTCCTCCTTGGAGATGCTGGATATGTAGGCCTGAAAGAGAGAATTCTTGGCTCTGTGAAGATCCCTACATTAATTTTGTTAACAATTTTTGGAAAATTAGACTAAACCACACCAATTATTCAAGTTAATGCTTTTCTGTGTTCCAGGGAAGAATCAAATGATCTCTTGTTTTATGTGTCAAACAACATTTTGCGTGTGTTAAATACATAATTCTTTTTCAAATACATAATAGATGCAAAAGTTCTGTGTAACTCAGTGAACGGACTGGCAGGATGATAATGCTGTTCAAAGGAGATTGCCGAAGATGAAAGCCTGAAGTAAAACTGCTAAATTAGATACAATCTGGCTAATGTCCTATAGGACAATAAAATGGTCACTTTTTGAATTTGTTTGTCTTCTAGACAGAAATTCCTAAAAATTCTTTTCATCTTTTCACTTTGTTGGTCATTATATGTAACTTTCCAGGGCTGTAACATGTCAAAATATATGGAACTTATTTAATTGTAAATAGTGTGTCATAGTTATGTGTTTCATAGAAAAGGAAATGACCATTCTGTGGGCCTCTAATGTCCCAATTATACTGAAAGGACTTGCTGTCAACGCTTTACTCCAGGCCTATGACTGGCCTCGGAGGCCTCTCCTCTCCCAGCATGTGCTCTGCCACGGAGGCTGCAGGCTGCCGCCCCCCGCCCCCCGCCCCCCCTCTGCTCACCTGAAGGCACATCCTCCTCCTGTCCCGTAGTCTCCTGTTACAGCGCCCTGGCCTAATTTGCATATTACCTCTCTTTATATATATATATATAGACTAAAGGCTCAGTGCATAAAATTTGTGCATTCAGGTGGAGGATCCCTCAGCCTAGCCTGTACTTTTTAATAGTCTGGGAGCCCTCTCCTGTGGGGAGTGGGCCTAAGCAGTCAGTTGGACATCCTTAGCACTGCCAAGGAGGTGGGAGAGGCTCCTTCCACCACCACTGCACTTGCCAGCTGTGAGCCCACCTTCTGGCTCCCCTGTGGGGAGCTGCCCTGAATGCAGGGGTCCTATATGCCTGAATGCAGGCATGGGTGTAGGACACAGCTCTCCATGTGCCCCCCCCTTTCCATTAACCTAAGTGGAAAATTACTACCACCCCTAGGAATGCTGCTAACTGCAGATGTCTTTGCTTTAGGGTAAAATAATTGATAGGAGCCTGCTGACACGGAAGGAGCTGTAAAAGGAGTTGTAAAAGGTCAGGTGGTTGTAAAAGGTCAGTTGCTGAAGGAATTTATCTGTACAGGGACTCATCATGTTAGCAGAAACGGCCACCTGTATGATTGCCTGAAATAAATATTTCCTCCTTCAGAATTGTATTTAAAGGTTGAAAAAATAAAATTCAGGGCTGCAGACCTGGGGTCTTGAGCCCGCCCGACCCCATCTGTTCTTGTCTTTCTTTTTTCTCATCCTCACCCCCTCAATCAGGTACTGTTGGTTGCCGGCAGGTTCCGGCACTCCCCCTTTGGGAGTGTATGGACTACCAGGGGCAGCTCCTGCATTGAACATCTGCCTCCTGGTAGTCAGTGCATGTCATAGTGACCGGTTATTCCACCATTGGGCAGAAACCAGCTCTCCAACATCCCCTGAGGGTTCTCAATTGTGAGAGGGTGCAGGCAGGCCAAGGGATCCCACTGATGTACAATTGGGGCCAAAGAGAGGGACGTGAGAGGTTGGCCAGCCAGGGAGGGACCACGGGAGTGCTCCAGGGAGAGATCGAAGGAGGGCTCCTGGGCATGTCAGGCCCGATTGGCTCCCCAGGACCCCAGCAGCAAACTAACCTACTTGTTGGAGCATTTGCCCCCTGGTGGTCAGTGCACATCATAGCAAGCAGTTCAGTAGCCTTAGCATATCATTAGCATTGGTTGAACTGTCAACTGGACGACTGGACACTTAGCATATTAGGCTTTTATTATATAGGATTAGGTCATCTCGGTACCAAGATGGACTGAGCCCAAAAATAGCACCAGAACCTAAAGATGGGGAGTCAGAGGTTTTTAAAGGACTCTAGGTGGGCTTTTTCTAGGTGGAGAATTCTCTGTGCAGGTCTGCATCCTGGGAAACTCTGGAGGAGAGAGATAATGGTCTTAGTAAGGGAATGTGGTCTAAGCAAGTGGAGTGCCAATTGTGAAGTGCCCTAAAGGTCAGTTCCCCGGGGAGGGAGTATCAAATCAATATTCCAGATAGATTTCTTGTAACCTACAATCCCCTCCAGATGGGCATGGGCTGCCCTGAGTTCACCCTGCCCCAATTAGTCCATATTCCGTCTCCTTTTATTTTTATTTCCACAAAGTAACTTGCGGGTGAATTAAAAGTCCAGCTGTCTTTGACACCTGGGAGGAAAAAAAAAGTGTCCAGGCAGGAAATGAACATAACAAAAATCTTTTTCAAGAAACAGTGTTAGAAGATATGCCACAAGATAGGAGAGAAAATTTAGCAAAAGTGGGGACCTTGGTAGACGGGCAGCCTGAAGGGCAGGAGAAAGGAGGACAGGAAAAGGGAAAAAGGGAGCGGCCCCAGAAAAGGCTGCAAAGTCCTTGGGCATTCGCATCACCAGCCAGGCACCTGCTCTCCTGCGGGCGACGCCCCGCTCCGGCTCGCAGCTCAGCGGCTCCGCCCGCCCGCCGCGGTCCCTCCCCGCGCCGCCGGCTCCTCCTCCGGCTCCCGTTCCTCTGACCCGCGGAGCCCAGAGCCGGCTCCTCTTCCTGCTTCGGAGGACGGAGACGCCGTCCCAGGCAGCCGGCTGCTCCTGCCCGGAGTGGCTCCGGGACGGTCGGAGCGCAGGTAGAAGCCGTCTGCCCGGCACCCGGAGCACCGGGCTCGGCACGGAGAGGGGGAGCCGGTGCCAAGGGCCCAGCGCCCAGGCTCGGGTGGGGCGGACGCGGCGGGTGCGGGTGCGGGCTCCTCCCGGCCGCTCCGGGAGGGTGTGTGTGTGTGAGTGAGTGTGTGTGAGTGTGTGTGAGTGTGTGTGAGTGTGTGTGTGAGTGTGTGTGTGTGTGTGTGTGTGTGTGTGTGTTTGTGTGTGTGTGTGTAAGGGCAGGGAAGGGCCCAGGAAAGCCAGTGGAGAGAGTGAGGGCCAGGGAGGGGCAGGGCGTTGAAGGGACATAAGAGGGAGGAAGAGACCAAGTGAGAACGAGTCTCCCTGCTCAGTGCTCCTTGGAAGGACATAGTAACTGCCACCAACAAGAGAGTTTGAGTACTGTTTGTAATAAAACAGAAACCCTGGCGGAGCTTAAACAAGAAAGAATCCCATACAGCCAACTTTTGTAAAAGTGAGGTGGGCGTTAATGTGTTAACACAAGGTTTCCATGACACACTGAGTGCAGAATGGTATCTAAAGTATGATCCTCTTTATGTAAAGCAAATTAAAAAAAAGGGGGGTGGGTGGAAGGTGTGTGTGTGTGTGTGTTTGTGTGTGTGTGTGTGCGTGTTTGTATAAGCATAGAAAATATCTGAAACTATTCATATAAAACAGCAGTGGTATCCCTGAGAATGGATCTAGAGATGGGGGTGTGGGGCGGGGACTTTTCATTTGCATTTTACAGCTGAATCTCCCTTCCCAAATTCCAGAGTGCAAAAATATTGAACTGTGTTTTTCTGTTAACTTCATTTTTGTTTTGAGACATTATAAAAAAAAAAACACTCTTGAGTTAATTCTGAGATTCCCCCACTCATTTCCCTGGGGTGTATGTGGTACCAAGATATGAGGGAAGTGTACCAGGCACAGAGGCCATCATTCGTGATGTTGTTTGCCCACACTGACACCCAGGGAGCTATCCGTGTCCTTTCTGGTTCTGGATTGTCTGTCCATTTGGGTCTTCTTGGAAGTATTCTACGCTCCTCTCCATAAGCTCTTGCATTTGAGGTTTAACTGATTCATTTAACAACATACTTATTCCTAAAATACTTAAATGCAAATAGAAGATAACCACTTGTCCAAATAAGTAAATACATTCCAATAGTATAAGATCAAGCATTCTGTCAAGCAGTTCTTAATTTGCAGTTAATGGAAATTCTAAGCGATCCATGGATGGACCCTGAAAATTGAGTGCAAAATAGTGTATACTCATTTTTTTTCTAAGAAAAACTCCATAGCTTTCACCAGATTGTCAAAAGTCTCTGAATCCCACTGATGAGGGCATTGTGGAAACAATAGTGAACAAGGCTACAAGGGTTATTCTCAGAAATGTATAATCTGGTGGAATGAAAGACAAACAGGCAATTACAAACCAGAGATATGTTCTATGATAGAGGAGGTATGATGTTGTGAGAACACAGAGCCACCTAAATTAGACTGGCTGGCTCCTTGGAGGAACTATTAAATTGAAGCCTGCTGAGTGAGAGGAAAGTACAGTTAGGCCTGGTAAAGGAAGGGATGGGGAAGGAGTGGTCTTTGTAGAAGGAAGCGTATTCCAGGTACCTGCCTTTCTGTAATCTAGAGTGATTACATAAAGTGGAAACTTAGAATGAGATAGGAATAACAGTAAGAGATGAGGCTGAACCATGATCAGTGTTAGGGTCGCCAATGGAGAAACGCACGAGGCCAAAAGAGGTGAAGAATCATGAATTTATTAGGTCACCTGTATACCAGATGGTCTGAGCCCCAAAATGGCACCAGCAGCCAATGGCGGGGAGTCAGAGGTTTTTAAAGGACTCTAGGTGGGCTTTTTTGGGGGGGCGGAGAATTCTCTGTGCAGGTCTGGATTCTGGGAAGCTCCAGAGCGGAGAGATAATGATCTTAGCAAGTGGAATGTACTGTGAAGTGGCCTACAGGTCAGTTCCCAGGGGAGGGGGTGTTGATTCAATTATTTGACCAGACCTAACAATCGGAAGCCAGGTTATATGTATGAAGCAGGGCATATAAAGGAAAACAAGATAAAGGAACCCTCAAGGAGTTCTATTCTTGTAAGGAGAGAGAGAGTGAACAAGGAGGCAAATAAGCAAACAAGGTAAAATTTTACCACCTATAATAATAAAAGGGTAATATTCTAATTAGACCTTCTGGGCATCATTATGGACATCCTTCTGGATGAAGTTGGAGCCCTGGTACAGATGACTGGTGGTGAGGACCTGAGGGAAGCAGCAGAGGGAAGCCGGTGCCAGCAGCCAGGGGAAGGAAGGCCTACTCTTGCATGAGTTTTCGTGCATCAGGCCTCTAGTGATGAAATAAACAAGGCTATGTATTAAACAGTGGCTGGGATATGTATCAGGGAGCTCCTTTTTTTGGGGGAGTGCTCCTTTATTTAAACAGATCTATACATTGGGGTCCACATGGATTGCAGGGTTTTAACAAAGGTGGTGGCAGGCAGAATGGAGAGAACTGGATAGGTTTGAGAGACACTGATAGAGTAGAATCAATAGGATTCAGTAGTTTATTAGATGAAAATAACAATAGATTTTATTTATTGAACATTTACTAAATGTTTCTGTGTTTATTTTTTTCTCTCACTTATTCCTCCAACAACTCTGTGGAGGGAGACATTTATTTCAGTTTTGTAGAGGCACAGAATTTTGTTGAGGCACAAAAAGTACAAAGAAGCCCAAGATCCCAAGTAGATTCAAGGTCCCATAAGGATTTAAACTCAAGTCTATTCCACTCCAAACCTCTGTAAGTAGAGGTGGCAAGGGTTTGGGGGAAAGACAATACATTTAGGATCTATGGAGCTTTGCATACCTTTGAGTCACCCAAGTGGAGATGTCCAATAGACAAGTGGGTAAATGAGTATGAAGCTCAGACGAGACCTAGGTCAAGGAATACATTTGTGAGTTGCCAGCATAGAAATGTTATTTGGAGCCACAGAATAGGTGAGACTATGTTGGGAAAGTATACAGAATGATTGGAACTCTAAGGAGCATTAACCTGTAAGGAATGGCAAAGAAGGAACCCCCAAGAAGCTCTGGTCAGAGTTGTAAGAGGAAAACCAGGACAGAGTTTCAATGAGAGTGATTAATAGTCTCATATTGTACTTGAGAGTTGAAGGAAAATAAGTTTTCAGATATGTCTGTTCTTGTATAATAAGAATTCCACTAGTTACCTAAGAAGATAGCCTTGTAGGAATAGTGGGACAGAATCCCATTTATTTGGTTGAAGAATGAGTAGTAGACAAAGAAGTTGAAGTGGTTCATGTAGACAGCTTAATCAAAATGTTTGTTTCTGGAGCTAAGAATCCAGAGTCCAAGATACAAGTGTGGCCCCTGTACTAAGTTGGGATCACACCTATAGCTCCTGGGCATTCCTTTACCCCTTCATAAGAAGACATCTCTGTTTGTTTGTTTTTTTTAAAAAAAACCCAACAACTTCCTGCTCTTAAGCTTCTGCCTTACTGTTTCCTACTCTTCTCCCTTAGAATATCCCCTCTATTCTCTCTGTAGAATACTCCCTGAATACATCCTATATAACAAAGAGATAATATGCAAATTGACCATCACTCCCACACATAAAGATGGCCACTCCATGTGGTCAAAGATGGCTGGCAGGGGAGGACATTTGGGAGGGACCAGGCCAGCAAGAGAGGGCAGTTGGGGGTGATCAGGCCATCAGGGGAGGGCAGTTGGGAGGCACAAGGCCTGAAAGGGAGGGCAGTTGGGGGCAACCAGGCTTGCAGGGGTGGACAGTTGGGGCAATCGGGCTGGCAGAGGAGGGCAGTTAGGGGTGACTAGGTTGGCAAGGGAGGGCAGTTAGGGGTGACTGGGCCAGCAGGGGAGGGCAGTCAGGGGCGATCAGGCTAACAGGGGTGGGCAGTTAGGATCAATCAGGCCAGGAGGGGAGCCGTTAGGCATCAATCAGGTTAGCAGGGGAATAGTTAGGGGGTGATCAGGCTGGCAGGCAGGCGAGCAGTTCAGAGCCAGCAGTCCCAGATTGTGAGAGGAATCCCATAGGGATCCTACAGGGATCGGGCCTAAACCAGCAGTTGGACATCCCCCTAGGGGTCCCAGATTGGAGAGGTGCAGGTTGGGCTGAGGGACACCCTCTCTTTCCCTATGTACAAATTTCGTGCACTGAGCCTCTAGTCCTTATAATAAACCCAGTTCTGTATCAGTTGTTCTTTGCCTTTAGTCACAGGCATTACCAGGAGTGGTATAGGAAAGAAACACTCCCTGTGCAGCCAAGTGCTCATCACATCTTTCTCTCCATCTAGGATATACTGGTTTGGGCTCCAGCCATGGAGAAACTTTATGGGCACATGTCTGCCCACCCAGACATCCTCTCCTTGGAGAACCGATGCCTAGCCATGCTCCCTGACTTGCAGCCCCTGGAGAAGTCATGTAGGCATATGTCCACCCGTCTAGATATCCTCTCCGTGGAGAACCAGTGCCTGGCCACACTTCCTGATGTGAAGATCATGGAGAAACCACATGGACATGTGTCTTCCCACCCAAATATCCTTTCCTTGGAAAATCGGTGCCTGGCCACACTTCCTGATGTGAAGATCATGGAGAAACCACACGGACATGTGTCTTCCCACCCAGATATCCTTTCCTTGGAAAATCGGTGCCTGGCCACACTTCCTGATGTAAAGATCATGGAGAAACCACACGGACATGTATCTGCCCACTCAGACATTCTTTCCTTGGAGAACCGGTGCCTGGCTACACACTCTGTTCTAAAGAGCACTATGTCTGCCAGCTCCTTTCCCCAGTGTGTCCACACATCTCAGCCGGTGCAAACCTGGAGGACTCAGTGTTTCTCTGAGGGACCAGGCCCTCCGACCTGCCCCAGAGCCCTGAAATCCATCTCTGCCACACGGGGAGCTCAGGAAACAGCTTTGGTAATAGCTCTAGGTGCTCCTCTTGACTGCAGCCATGTCTGCTGGATGCTCCAGCCCCTAGCTTTCGTGCCACAGCATCTCTCTTTGAAGCCTCTTCCTGAGGTGCCCTTTACCCCAGGGCTGGCTTCATCAGCATCCTTACTCTCCTTACATATCTAGTTTAGACATTCTGGACAGTAGAGCAAAAACAGACCCTGTCCTCAGAAAGCCTCTGCTCAGGAGGAGAGCCATCATGATGTTGAAGTAGCACCATCAGTCAAATGCTTTTGAGAGCCTATTCAGGCATGAGACACACATGCTATACCCTGACCCAGTTCCCTGGAGGTGCATATACAGACACATGTCCACTTATACTAGTATGTATGAGCACAGGCCAGAATCAGTATACAAACACACATTCCTCTGTACAACCTTGGGATTCGGACTGAAGCAAAGACTAATCTGAGCCCTATACTGTCTCTGCCTATTACAAGCACAACCTTAGGCAAGATTCTTGCCTTTTGAAACTTTAATTTCCTCACATTTATTTATTTTATTGATCTTTCTTATTGAGAGTATTTCAATGTCCCCCCTATTTCTCCCCATCACCACCCACCATAATTTCCTCACCTTTAAAACAAGATCAATGGAAATCTACCTCATAGGGTCACTGTCAGGATTATAGCTACTGCCATCTTACACTTATTTAGGGCTTTTCAATTTGCCAAGAGTCATACATGCATTATCCCATTTAATCTAAATGACCCCATCAGATAGCCTTAATCCTACCTGATGGAGCCATTAGAAGGGAATGAGGTAGCTGAGATTTAAAGATTAAGGGGGATCCCAAAGTTGCTGGGGGATTGACCAGGGATGTGGCCCTTTTTCTTCTGACTCCGAAATGCATTTTTTAAAAGAAAGAATTTATTGATTTTTAGAGAGGAAGGAAGGAAGAGGAAGAGAGAGAGAAACATTGATGTAAGAGCAAAAGATCAATCAGCTGCCTCCTGTAAGCCCCCCTACTGGGGATTGAGCCCACAACCCCAAGCATGTGCTCTGCTCAGAAATCGAACTAGCAACCTTTTGGTGCATGGGGATATGCCCAACCAATGGAGCCACACTGGCTAGGGTGACTTCAGAATACTATAATAGCATCATAGGAGGGCTCCTAGGCTGTGACACCAATAAGGAGACGAAAGCAGGTTAATCACAAAGCACCTGAGCAAACGCTCAGAAGATTAAGCCAAGAAAGATGGTGTGTGTGATGGTGAAAGATCCCTATGTGAGACAGGACAGATTGGTGCTGGGTGTGAAGGGAGAGGAGTTGAGGTGCTAGAGGATAAAGGTGGACATTTCCTATCCCTGGGAGCTGCCTTCAAATCTAAGTATGTTTGAGAGACTGTGATTAATAATTGCCACTATCCCCAGGGTCATTGGTCCTCTTCAGAAGACAAAAAGCCAGGGGAGAAGAAATGGACAGAGATTCAAATGCCTTTTTACAGTCTAAGCTTGGGAGAGGAGGAGGAGGTGGAGGAACTGGCCTTGAAGCTCACCCCTGGAGACTCCGAGTCTTGGTCTGAGCCCACTGACCAGGTCCTTCAGGAGAAGAAGGTAAAAATTCCAGTGTGGGAAAGAGGTTGATAGTGGTGGAGGGGAGGATGGGGGGTGGGTGGGAGGAGTAGTGCCCAAAGACTAAACCAGATTCCTTCCACTGATGGAGGGGCGGGAGGGGGCATCACCCAGCTCTTATTTCTCATCTCCTAATCCCCTTTCCAGCCTCTTAGTTAAAAAAAACATCTTCTGAATCTGGGATCCATTTTCTCTGTCCATGATTTTGTAAGTTGGCCTGAGGGATGCTTACATTGGTCCTTATTCCCTCTTTCCTCCTTCCTTACCTCTCTTTCTCAATTCCCAGATGGCTCTAATGAGCTTGTTGTGCTCCACTGTGGCATCAAAGGTAAACATGAAAGATGCCGCCAACCCTACCAAGACTGCCCTCCTGGAAATCTGTAGGGAACTTGCCCCCTTGGAGCCTGAGTTTATCCTTAAGGTATTGTGGTGTGAGAGAGTGGATGGGAGTGGGAAGCTGGGAGCTAGAGAATGTGCTTATGGTGTGTGAGGGGGATGGTGACCAGCTTTGTGCTGTTGGTGGAGGGAGCTTCACTTAGGAAGTGAAGATGGTCTCTGGGGGAGTCTGTGGCCTGGTCCCTAGGGTTCTGTGAGGAGTGGAGAAGATGGGATTGGGAAGGAGTATGCTAGCAAGTACACAGGCTTAAGTATAGAGTTTCTTGAGGGCATACCAACAGCATGAAGCATGATCTGGCTCTTAAGGAGCTTATGGTACTGTTAGGTCAGCAAAAACACTCCCAAATATGTAAATGTAAATGGCCCAGTAGATAAGTGACTGTTTCAGAAGTAGAAAAGAGGCTGGGGGGGGGGGGGGGGGAGATGTTGAACCCAAGGTAAGTCTTTGATAGATGTTAAAGAAGTCTTCCAAAGAGGGAAAGGGCCTGGTTGATGTAGGAGGTGATCCATAGACCCAGGAGAAGACATGCTGCAAAGGCAGAAACAGACTAAATAACAGAGGATTTAGGGTGTAAAGTTCAGAAGTTGAACTTGATATTTCATAGACAATCTGGAGGGATCGGGAAAAGTTTTTATGCAGGTAGACTAGATTTTCAAGTTAGTTTAGGGCATGAAGTTCTGGGAGAAGATGCTAACTCTCCCCAACCTGCACCCTAGGCATCTCTGTATGCCAGGCAGCAGCTGAACATCAGGGATGTAGCCAACCAAGTCTTGGCCATTGCTGCCTTCTTGCCAGTCTGCCGCCCTCACCTACGACGATATTTCTGCGCTATTGTCCAGCTGCCTTCTGATTGGATTCAGGTAGCCGAGTTTTACCAGGTATGGCACTCACTTCCCTGAACTTTGGCCTTCATGTAGGTTCCTCTCATTTGCTCATTGCATCCCTGGAGAAAATTCTCGGACAGTTTGGCCTCCCCTCTGCTGCCCTCAACCTTAGTGCCCAGACAGGACAGCAGAGGGGAGGGGTAGTGCCCAAAGACTGACCTAGATCCCTTCCCTCTACAAGGCTGGGTTGCCCAACAGGGAGAATATGATTGAGAAGGGCTGGAACACAGTTTAAGAAAAATTGGTCTTATTCTGGACCTTGTATTTACAATGAAGAAAATGAGATCCATGGAAGTCTGTTGACTGGTCCAGTACCACAGAAACTGTCATTTTAGAGCTGGGGTAGGGAACATCTGGCCTGCGGGCCATATAAGATCTAAGAAATCATTTGGTCTGGCCCTGCCAAGGCACTAGGGATGAGTTAACTAAATGTTTGACCAAATATAGCAAGCTAATTTTTAAATTTAATTGTTAATTTTGTATGTCCTCAGAATGATGTTATAGATATCCAAATGGTCTTGGCAGGAACATGGTTCCCCTCCCTTGCTTTAGAGCTTGGGCTGAGAACTTGCTCCCTATTCTAATTTTAACCCTGTGATGGGCCTTGTTTTATTTTGGAGGGATTGTTTGGGTCTTACTCCTGATGGTCTCTCCTCTCTCTGGCAGAGCCTGGCTGAAGGAGAGGAGGACAAGCTGGTGCCCCTGCCTGCCTGCCTGCGTGCTGCTATGACTGACAAATTCACCCAGTTTGATGAGTACCAGCTGGCCAAGTACAACCCTCGGAAGCACCGGGCCAAGAGATGCCCCCAGCAACCCCCCCGGTCTCCAGTCAGTCCCTATCTCAGCTCTGGTCATTCACAGCCCAGGTCCCTTTTCTCTGGAAAGGGAGGGATGAAGGAACATGCTGACCCAGGGGATCCCACACTAAGTGTCTGGCATGTTCTTACCATCAGGAACAAATAGTCTGAAAAATGCGGAGGAGCCAGGTAGAGCTCAGGAGTCAGAGAAGGCAGGGCCTGCTTCTTTCTTAGCTGGCTTCCTTTTAGATAGAGATGGGCCTTTGGGACTATTGACATGGATCTCTCCAGGGACAACCTCCATTTCCCTTTTTGAAACTGCTTCTCCTGTCCCTACAGAAGACGAAATATACATTTTCTAAGAAAATGAAGGATTTGCCAATATTTAATCTTCTTAAAGATGAACAGGAGAAGGTGAGTGCCTTGTTCTGTGGTTCTATATGTGCACTAGAGGCCTGGTGCATGAAATTCATGCAAGGAGGGGGGTTCTCCTCAGCCCAGCCTGCACCCTCTCCAATCTGGGACATCTCCCAACAGGATAGGGCCTTAACTGGCAGTGGGACATCCCTCTGACAATCCAAGATTGCTGGCTCCAAACTGCTTACCTGCCTGCCTGCCTCATTGCCCCTAACTGCTACTGCCTGCCAGCCTGATCACCCCCTAACCACTCTCCTGGCAGCCTGATTGACACCTAACTGCTCCCCTACTGGCCTGATCATCCCCAACTACCCTCCCCTGGCAGCCTGATTATTCCCAACTGCCCTCCCCTGCCAGCCTGCTTGGCCCCAACTGCCCTACCCTGATCTTATGATAACATGGGGGGTGGTCATCTGATGATGATGTTGGGATGGCTATTTTGTGACAGCCATCTTGTGACAAAATGGGGGTGGCCATTTGTGATGACAGGAGGGTTAGATGCCACCTAGACTTTTATTAGTATAGATGAACAATCTTGTCATCTGATACTTAGAAATTGAATTCCATTTGGTTTAGAAATACAAATAGAGGGTGTAGTAGGCACAGGCCATTTCCCTACCTGGGGAATTCTCAGCTGTGATTGTGGGATCAGGTTTTGAGAGAACTAGAAAATGCTCTTTATAGATATATTTCTTTATTGCTTTCAGAGAGGAAGGGAGAGGGAGAACGAGATAGAAACATCGATGATGAGAGAGAATCATTGATCAGCTGCCTCCTGCATGCCCCCTAGTGGGATCGAACCCACAACCTGGGTATATGCCCTTGACCAGAATAAAAACTAGGAATCCCTTAGCTCACAGGCTTGATGCTCTATCCACTGAGCCAAACTGGCTATGGCTTTCCCTCCATTTCTTTTTTTTTTCTGTAAAACTTGAATATAATATCTGTTTAGTTTCATTACAGTCTTTTTAAATTTGATTACTAATTCTTGATCGTAAGTAAAGCAATAAATTACAGAATTTCTCCCTCCTCCCATTTCTTTAATTATAGGGGACTTATCTAGCTGGATAAATGAGTTAAAGACATGAATTGTTTACCTTCCATGGGAATTTTTAAAAACAAACCAAACCATTTTTAAATGTGCATCAATGACAAATAAGTCATTGCACTTAGTGGTTAAGAGCATAAAATCTGGATTCTGACCTGGGTGTGAATCCCTCCACCACCAGCACTGCTGGCTACCTGACTTTGGCCAAATGATTTGCCCTCTCTTGCCTCAGTTTCCTCAGATATAAAATGGGGAGTATAATAGTACCTACTTCATTGGGTTTTTGTAAAGATTAAATCAGTTATTGTATTTCCAGTATTTCTAAAAACACCTGGCCCTGAATTAAGGTGAGCTACCACCACCATCATCATTGGAATAGATTATTAGGAAGACGTAAGCATTATAAGAAAACACGTTCTCAGTCTTTCTGCTGATCTTTTCTCTTTATCCTATTAATACATCCCAAACTTAGCTCTTCCACCATAGAAGATTCTGTAAAGCAACTTCTTTCAGTTTTGTTTGTTTGTTTGTTTGTTTTTAACTCCTCACAGTCTTCATTATTCTGATGCCTTCTCCTGGTCCAGGTCTCGGTGATTTAAATAAGAGCCCCTTTTCTCTTTCCTCCCTTGGAGAACAAGGTATCCTCTGTTCATCCTACCTCCATTTTGCTGTTCACAAGCCAATCACTCCATTTTACCATTGATAGTTCAATCTTATGTAAATAAAATATGGTGACCCCCAAACACTGCTCTATGATGCTTACGATAGGAGTTCTTGTTGGTAGATATTTTTACCCCTTATATTCCTACTCTTTGCCCAAATCTGATTTGGGGAAAGAAACGATCTCATAGGTATAAGATGATCTTAGGTTCTGCTTTCGGAAGAAAGTGATTATGGTCATAGATTCAATGACCCCAGTGGGATTTGGGGGTATTTCCACAGTTTGAGAAGTCTTACAATGCAGTTCCAGAGAGAAAGAAGCCCCCAAGGTTCACCCTGAAGAAGTTGGTACAGCGACTGCACATCCAGGAGCCTGCCCAGCACGTGCAAGCCTTGCTAGGCCACAGGTGGGAAGATACACTCCGAACGTACATTCCGTCTGGGAAACCCCATGACTCTTCTACAATCATGACCCTAATCCCTGTACTTCTGACCCCAGCAACATAGTTTGGGCCGATGTGGCCTGTAAACATGATTGACTAGCGTTGACTGGCTCACCTTTCCTTTCCTGGGTTATTTTCAACCGGCTTCGAAATGACAAGGTTTTCCTCCTCCGTTCCAGATACCCCTCCAACCTGCAGGCCTTTTCTCGAAGTCGCCTCCCCGGGCCATGGGATTCTAGCAGAGCTGGGAAGCGGATGAAGCTATCTCAGCCCGAGACCTGGGAGCGGGAGCTGAGCTTGCGGGGGAACAAAGCATCTGTCTGGGAGGAACTCATTGGTACAGTAACCTTAACCATCACACCCTCCTCTACTCTTCCCGATTCATGCCTCTCCATTTTAGACCAGAGGATTTCCATGACATGATGCAGTTACTCTATTGCTTGGTAGTTGTGACACTAAAAATTATTGGATTTCTAAGGTCCGCCATCGACCACACCCAAGTGGACAGGGGTGCCTTCTTTGAGTAACATTGCAAGTGTAGATAGATCATTATTCCAGATGTGGTTAGGTCTTTATCAACACATGACAAAAGTGATACCTTCTCCCTGATTTCACTTGTATCACTATCTGTAATTCATTCAAATGAGATAGAACTTTCTGTCACATGGCATAGTAGAATATCCATAAGAATTTATATTTAGAACATGGAATTTTTATTTAGAACATGGAATTTTTAACTCAATTTGCCCATATTGAGTAAAAAAACTTCAAATCAGGGAGGGCCAAATTACTCTCAATCTTCTCTTTCTGTTTTTAAATTTTTGACTATAGAAGGTTCTTTCTATTCCATGTTGTTTTCTTTTATTTCCTCTTTCACCTTTGGCAATTTATTTTATTTCCTCTTTCATCTTTGATAATTTAAAGTCAACTTCTTTCTGTTGAGAAATATCTAATTAGACCTTTTATCTGCTTGAGTTTTGTAGACTTCACATGGTAAAACCTTGGAAGCTCACGCTGGCTTTTCCCTTATTTCTCTGTGGGCTGCTGTTTATAGATTATACTTGGGGAAGCCCGAATTGCTCAGCCTCTAGCACTCCACTCACTTTGTGGTTGTCACAATCACATGTTCCACACAAATGCACACACTTGCCTGGCAACCTCTTCCCTAGTATTGATTCAGCTTTGGGTGGAGTAGAATAAAGAAGTCTGGATGGCAGCCAGTATATTAGATGACTCTTGTATGCATCATCTCCACTTCCTTTCTCTGCTCCTGAAAACCCAAACTGTGTCATTATTCTTGGGTGAGACAAATGCCCATAGTCTAACCCATTGGACTCCAGACTTTTTCTAAAAAATTACATATTGCAAAACAAATTTTGGGATACAGCAGAATATGTATATATACAGAGTGGGAAAAAGTAGGTTTATAGCTATATGAAAAAGTTTATTCTTGTGTTATTTATTAATTATTGTATTATTTTCTATATGAAAAATTGTAAACCTACTTTTTCCCTACCCTGTATTTATAAAAATTTCATACATATATTAATAAATTAATGTACTTTAAATATAGCAAATATAATTATTTTTAATATAGGTATGAAAGTAAATAAAAGAAAATATTAAAATATATAAACATAAATATAAAATATAAGATAAAATGTATACCCTAACTGGTTTGGCTCAGTGGATAGAGTGTCAGCCTGTGGACTGAGAGGTCCCAGGCTCGATTCTGTTCAGAGGCATGTACCTTGGTTGCGGGCACATCCCCGGTGGGGGGTGTTCGGGAGGCAGCTGATCGATGTTTCTCTCCCATCGATGTTTCTGACTCTCTATCCTTCTCCTTTCCTCTCTGTAGAGAATAAAAAAAAAATATATTAAAAAACATAAAATGTAATTAGATATACATACCCCTCTTTGATTAGTTCATTAACTTATGAACAATTTCTTTGGAATGAAACAGAAAATTTCCCAATTTATAGGATAAATACTCAGTTTATTTTCTAGAGTCATAAATATGATGTTGACTTAAGTTCTTATATCTAGAAGATCCTTCATACATAGCAATAGTTGAGAAAACATGACTTTCAAAGGATACAATAGCTCATCAGCTATCACACATCACTTATACTGCATACTCACCCTCCTCTTTCCCTTCGCCTGATAAAAGCTGCTGAGAAATGCAGACTAGAGCATGGGATGTGGGTTTGGGGCTGAAAGACCTGGTCTCTAAAGTGGGGGAACCCAGGTAAAATAGGAAGTGACAGAGGTGAAATTCTATCTGCTTAATCAGAATGTACAAGTTTCCCAGAAAACTTAAAAGGATCAAGAAGACTATTTGAAATAGGGGTTTGCATTCAATATCATGATGATGAACCTTATCTTAAGTGTATACTGTGCCTTGAAATATTAATTAATGGTTCTACTACATGAATATAATTTATTAATAAACAAACTTATACCAGGAAATTTCTCTTTTAGCCATCTAAACAGTTTGTAAATCATTACTCTTTAAAAATTTTTTTTAATCTTTATTGTTGAAAATATTATAGATGTTCTCCTTTTTACCCATTGACCCCCTCCACCCTGAACTCCACCCTCAGGCCTTCACCACACTACTGTCTGTGTCCATTGGTTATGCATACATACATATAAATTCTTTGGCTAATCTCTCCCCACAAACCCACCCCGCCTTCCCTCTGAGATTCATCAGTCTGTTCCATGCTTCTGTGTCTTTGGATCTTTTTTGTTCATCAGTTTATTTTGTTAATTAGGGAAATCACTATTTTTGGTTAGAGAATATATTTTGCTAGTTAACCCCAGTCTCAGGGCTGGAGCCAATAGACAAAGTGATAGCATAAGTTGTTTATTGAAACAGCTGTCCCATAAACAGTGTCGCATAAATTTTGCTCCAACCGTGTTTGTTTTTTTCTTTGGGGACCTTTAAATCATTATGAGTAGGATAGGTCATATGTTAATACCTCACTCCCTCCATCCTGAATTTTCTACATCCTCTGAACTTCTTGTTCTGATTTCTGACCTCTCTCACATATCCTTTGTTTCCTTTTCTCACCCCTGCCCGACCTTCTGACCTTCTGCAGGCAATGGGAAGCTTCCCTTCATGGCCATGCTTCGGAATCTGTGCAACCTGCTGCGGGTTGGGATCAGCACCCACCACCACGAGCTTGTACTGCAGAGACTCCAGCAAGCGGTATTTATGAGGGGCACGGCGGCGGGAGGTGGGTGTGGAGATGCTGTTGCAGTTTGGGGAACTGGGCTTTTCTTAGTGGCTGGGGAAGGTCATGGCCGCCAAGCTATTTCCATGTGGGCAGGTAAGGGGATACAGATAGGATGGGGGAGACAGGTCTGGGGGTTCATCAACCCTTTGAGAAATAAGAGTATAAGAACTTTCCTTTTGCTCTGGCTGGGTAGCTCAGTTGGATTAGAGCATTGTCCTGATATGCCAGGGTTGAGGGTTCAATCTCTGGTCAGGGCACATATAAGAAGCAATCAATGAATCCATAAATAAGTGGAAAAGCAAATCGATGCTTTTCTCTTACTTTCTCTCTCTCTCCAATCAATAAAAAAGAACTTTCCTTTTTATTTTCTGATCTACCAGGAGGAAGCACTTCTGTGATTTAACTGATTTCAGAAGGAGGCTGATATGAAACACAGAGCTCCTTCTGTTACTTCCTGTCTTTTCTTCTTTACCTCTTCTCATATTCTCACATAGATTTTCATTTTTCTTTAATCTTCTCCCCCTTTCTCTGTATCTCATCTCTAACATTCATCTTGCCCTTCCTCACCTTCCCACAAATCTAGAGTGGTTATCTCAAGTTCCTGGTCCCCGAGGCCCCTAATGCCTCCCACACTCAGACTCTTCCCTTGCTTTGCAGAAGTCCGTGATCCACAGTCGGCAGTTTCCGTTCAGATTTCTTAATGCCCATGATTCCATCAATGACCTTGAGGCTCAGCTAAAAAATAAAGGTATTATCCCTTCTTCCGACTCCTGTTTGTCTCTCATGTCTGAGAAGAGATGAAGCAGCAGCCCTAGTGTTTTTCAGCCTCTTGCCTTCCAGTCTCAGGGTCGGGTGGGCAGAGGTCAGTTGATTGCCAGCCTCAAGGGTTGGGATGCAGGACAAAACTGATGGGAAAACAAGGAGAGGATATAAACTGCCTGACTCAGTACTTACCTGTTGCCACACAGAATTGCCATTTCCTTCCAACACACAACTGATGAGACGGATAATGATTAGACACTCTAAAAATGTCCAGAGACGGTACGATAAAAGGCAACTTCCAAACCTAAAACGTCGGGAACTTCGGGCAGTCCTGAGGGTGCCCGTGTTTTATGAGCAACTCAAGCGAGAGCAGCTAAGAGTATACAGGAGCAGGTAGGTGTGTGTGTGTGTTATGTGGAAGCAAAGGATGGGCAACAAAAGGTACCCTAACAAGGCTTGAGAGTCATCTGGCAACCTCAACTTTTATTCTCTAAAGACATGCTTGTCAGTCATCCCAATGGCTTAGACTTACCTGATTCCAGTTGTCTCTTGCACAGCAACACATATCTTTAACATTGTCTTATGCAGATATCATGAAACAAAACCTATTCTTGTGATTGTTTCATTGGTTCTATGGATTCTGTGAGTCTGTGTAGCATCTCCCTTTCTCCTGTGGGTGCTAGGGTCTTTTCTGCTTCTGCTCTGGTGCAGGTTTCTTTCTTTTTCTTCTCTGTGGCATCTGTTTTACTTTTGCTTTCTCTCTCTCTCTCTCTCTCTCTCTCTCTCTCTCTCTATATATATATATATATATATATATACATTTCACTTTTCTTTCTCTTTTGACACATATATGTTTATCATCAAGCAGGCTCAAATGCAGACATGAAATCTGTCCTAAGTCCCAGCACCCTGTCCTTTCAGACACTTCAACAGTATCTTCATTCATTTTCATTAAAGGAAAAGGCTGGGATCATCTGACTTTTTGGTAGAACTTGGTGGCCAGGAATATCCTGAATCAGTGACCAGTGGTTGAACACGGTTCATTAAGAATCAAGCCTAGCACACAGTTCAAACAGTATACCTTTGCTGGCCATTAAGGTAGCCACTAGCCACATGTGGCTTTTGAGCACTTGAAATGAAATGTGGCTTGTCGGAACTGAGATGTGCTGGGTTTTGAGGACAGTATGAAAAAAGGATGTAAAATATCTCATTCATAGTTTTTGTATTAATTGAATGTTGAAATAAAAATATTTTAATTTAATTAACTATAATTTTTAATTGAATAATGCTGGTAGAAACTACTGACTTCTATAGATTTAAAATTATTATGAAAAAATTTAAACATTTACACAAGTAATGAGAATAGTATAATGGATTCTATAGAACTGTTAGTCATATTCAGTGATTACATTTTACCACACTTCCTTTCCTGACTCCTCTCTTCTTTTTCTTTTTTCCCATTTTTAAAGAGGATTTTAAAAACAAATGATAAATAATATGATGCATTTTATTTCACCCCTCTGTACTTCTCATGCATCTCTTAAAGCAGACATTTTCTTATATAATCAGAATGTCATTAATATACTTAAGAAAACTGAAAAAAAATTCTTGGTTATTATCATTTATTATCTAATACATATTAAAAAATTTCACTTGTCTCAAAAATATTTCAAAGCTTTGTTCAAATCAGGATCCAAACAAGACATACATATTACATTTGGTTATTAAGTCTCTTAAATCTCTTTTAATTGTTTTCATGTCATGACTTGCTGTAGAAACCAGGTTCAGGGGCCGCACAGAATTTCCCACATTCTAGATTCTTGTACTTCCTCGTGATGTCATCTAACTTATTCCTCTATTGCATGCATCCTGGCCATTAACTCCAAAGGCTTGAATAATTCAGATTTAACTTTTTTTCTTATAAGACTATTTCATATATGATTCTTTGTACACTATAATAAGACCATTAGACTTAAAAAAAAAAAAAAAAAGGAAAAGTCCTGGCCAGTATGGCTCAGTTGGTTGAGGGTTATCCTATGCACCAAGAGGTCCCTGGTTCAATTCCTGGTTAAAGGCTCAATCCCCAGTAGGGGGTGTGCAGGAGGCAATTGATCAATGTTTCTCTCTCACATCAATGTTTCTTTCTCTTTCTCCCTCTCCCTTTCTATCTCTCTGAAATAAATAAAAACATATATTTTTTTAAAAAGTGAAAAAAAGACTATCAGGCTTTTTTTTGCTTCCTAATAGGTTAAGGATCTGGAGGCACAAAAAGTCTGGTGGTCTTAGTCACAGTGATGCTAAGATGCTAAGATTGATTAGTGCTCTTAGGTGATGACAACCTGATCTCTCCACTATAAAGTTAATGGTTCATCCATTGATGATCTTTGCCTGAACCAATTGTTTCATTAGCAGTTGCAGATGGAGGTTTTCTGTTATTCCTCATATTTATCAGTTGGAATTCTGTAAGGGGGTGTTTCTCTCTTTTCTGCGTCCATCACAGAAAAGGAAACAGTCCGGTTGCTGAGTGGAGGAGCTGGGGATTAAGAAATTAAAGAAAGAAAGAAAGAGAGCAAGACGCAGAAATAGATTTATAAAGCTGGGAGCTAGGTGGGCTGCCATTCCCTCAGATGGAGAGGCAGTGAGCACCCTGAGTCACGCAGCAGTTTTATTTTATAGGATCAAAGCAGCTTATTTGCATTCTTAAGTAGGCCCTAGCATTACTGGATTTACATATCTAGACCTGCCCTTGCTGACACCTGGACAAAGGTTAAGTCAGAACTGAATAATTCCTCCCCCCACCCCCCGCTTTCTTGGGGGGGGGGGGAGGGCGTAATAACCAGGGACACGACTCTGCCAGTGCCTCAGGTTCAGCTGACAATTTAAAGAAATGTCCATTTGCCTTCCCAGGGGGCCCTCTACAGAATTCTAAAAAGAACTTGCCTCATCAACTAAAGGTATTTAGTTACCCTGTAATGGCAATAGTATTGGAAAGGTGGAATGAATGCTCAGTTCTTTTCTCTTTAACTGCCAGTTTGCAGAGTAAGAAAGTAGTAAAACACAATTTAAAAAAAAATGTAGCAGTTAAATCTTGCCTCATGAAGCAACTATGGATTGATGTGTAAGTGAATTCAGAGAGTGGGCCTGCAGGTGACTTCTCTCCTGCCATGAGAAGAGATTAGGAGAGTCCTGCAGAATTTAAGCAAAGGGAAGCTCTGTCCTTGTCTCCTCTCCTGGCAGTGGAGGCAGGCTCTGGAAGGTGGGGGGGAGAGGGGGGCGGATGGGAGGGGGCGAGGTGAGTGGGAAACTCAACACTTAAGTGGCCAGTTCTCATCTTCCCATCTGCCTTAAAGTGACAAACAGAGAAGCTCCTGAGTCCTTGTGTCTGTGCCTTTCCTGTCTGCAGAGAGTGGAAATACGACAGTGAGATGCTGGCTCGATATCGACAGGCCCTGGAGACAGCTGTGAACCTCTCGGTGAAGCACAGCCTGCCCCCGCTGCCAGGCCGCACCCTTCTGGTCTACCTCACAGATGCGGATGCAGACAAGATCTGTCCCAAGAGCAACCTAGAAGGGGTAAAAAAAAAAAATTTAAAATAGGAGGTTTGCTAGGATTCTGGGGCTCCCGAGAGGTATCCTGGATGCAGACCTGGTTCTCACAAGCAAACACGCGTAAGCAAGCAAGCAACTGGAAGAAATGACTTGCATTTGCTTCCCAGTGTCCGACGTTGGTCCCTGGGGACAATTCCTAGAATGTGATCTCAAGCCAGGTTGTGGATTATAATTCTAACATTGCACAACTAGCTGGTACATAATCTTTTCTAAATCTCTGCCACCGAAATATCCACTTTACCTGCCTACATCCGAATACTGATTCTGGGCAGGGGTCCTGGCCTCTCTCCACTTTCCTCCCGGGCAGCTGTTCCTGAGGGCCTCAGAAGGTCCTCCTAACCTGGGGATTTGTCTCTTTCCCCAAGCAGCCGAGGTGTTTGGCCTTCAGGGCCAAATAGACAAGAGTAGTTTTTACAAGTGGGGGAGCCTTATTTCACCCCGATGCCTGTCCCATCAGCCCCCCTTGAACTACGTGTTGCTGTTGATGGGCATGATGATGGCGCGGGCGGAGCACTCGGACCTCGTGCTGTGCGGAAGAGGTGCTCTGAAGCCTGCGGTGATTAAGGCAGAAGATGGCATCCTGAAGACTGCCCTCGCACTCCAGGCTCAAGTCCAGGTCAGCCACCCACCCCTGCCCTGCAAAAATACGTGAATGGTCACAGGCCTGGGAAGAGTCTGCAAAGCTGAGAAAGGCTTGTGCTAGTAAATGCAGTTCGGAAGATTTCCCAAGCAGACTGTGGTGTGTGTTGCTTACTGATCAGCTCCCAGGCAACCACATAACATGAGCCTTTTTCCTTCAGGAGTTAGATGGAGACTATGAATGTTCCCTGCATACTTTGGGGAAACACCTGCTGTCTCTGGCTGCACAGAGGGTTCCTGTGAGTACTGCCCAGTCTCTGAGAAACCTTTCCCTCCCCCACATTTTCCTCCTCAACTGATGTATCTCACTCCTCAAAGCTACCTTTCAAACTAAGTGCAGTACCCAGATCGGCTCCCTGCTGGCTGCAACTTCCTAACCAGTGGTATGCTGGTGATATATAGCAACCAGCAATCTGGGAAAATACATCTTGGTTAGTAGCATGTGCTAACTTCCATGGTGTAAATTCTCCTTCTGTGGCTGATTTCAAGGTATCAGTGAACTCAGAGTTGGGAAGAGATGGTAAGTATCACTTATCACACTATTGTGTAATCCTCCACAATACAGATAAAGTACATGTAGGTAAGATCAAGACTACATAATGGGCCGAAACCGGTTTGGCTCAATGGACAGAGCGTCGCCTTGGGGACGGAAGGGTCCCGGGTTCGATTCCGGTCAAGGGCATATACTTGGTTGCGGGCATATACCTTGGTTGCGGGCATATCCTCAGTAGGGGGTGTGCAAGAGGCAGCTGATCGATGACTCTCTCTCATCGATATTTCTAATTCTCTCTCTCTCTCTCTCTCTCTCTCTCTCTCTCTCTCTCTCTCTCTCTCTCTCTCCCTTCCTCTATGTACAAAATCAATAAAATATATATATATAAAAAGACTACATAATGGTAAGATGTAATAAAATAATTAGGAAGTGATATGTTCCTATTTATTACCTTTGTTTTTAATATAATTTACTAAAGAGTAAGTTCATATAGTTGAATATTTAATAACGGCCATGTTTCACAACTGGCTCACATAATTTCTAAATATTTGGTAACCAGCTCTTGGGAACCTGACTGAGCCAGCTACCCACACCACTGCCCCTACCCCAACTTCCGCTTTGATGCCCCTCCAAGTCCGGGTGTAATGGTTGCCTGGTCCTCAGTGCTCTCAGGAGAAGCAGTTTTCTTTTGTGCTCAGCATTCTCCTGCTGCTCAGAGATCTCTTGATGTCCTTACTTCTTTGGCCTGTCTTCTGTGCCTTTGTTCTGGTCTCAGCCCCTCCCTTTTTATCTTACAGGTGGACAGGGTCATCGTCTTTGGCCAAGCTATGAATGCAAATCTGATAAACAAGGCCAAACAGCTTTTCTGGCAGCACGTGAATCCCAAGTGCCTCTTTGTTGGTGTTCTCCTAAAGACGTGTGACAGGTAAGGGTGCTCCTTCTCATCGCCGAGGGTCAGAAGACAGTGATCCATATTTAATCTCTACCGTCATAGTGTGGACCCTCCCCCTCGCCAGACCCTCCCCAGTTCTTTCTCTTGTGTCTGTTGACGTCAGGTGCAAGAAACCTCTTTGAAGTATTCAGCCTAGCTCATACCCATTTGTGAGGGGCCACCCTAGCCCCAGCCTAGCACATTACCCCATTGAAAGTGCGGAGGTGGGATGTTGGGGGGAGGAGGTAGTGATTATGTTCCTGATACTGTTTCTGATAGGTAGTGGCTTCTTCTTCCTTTGCCAGATTTCGAGATTTGAATCCCAATGACGTGACACTCTCAGGCTGTACTGACGGGATACTGAAGTGAGTACAGGCTGGGCCCTAAAGGGATTGGGAGTTTGTTAGAGCATTTTTCAGAGAGATCTGTGGTCTCCACTCCATTTACTTGTTTTTTTTTCAAGGATGATAATGAATTCCTCTTTTAGAGCTGTCTAAGCATAGCAGCAACACCTTCTGTCTTATTGCTCCATCATTATCAAATACTCTGCCTCCACTTCATGGTACAACAGACTGCTCCAGCTCCAGCCATCATTTTTGTATTACATTTAGTAGGAAAAGGGGACATAGGTGATGATTATACTGTTTGCTTTTAAGTGAACAACTCAAGAATTGGTCACATTGCTTCTCTTTGTTCCACTTTTGATCCAGAGGAAAGCCAATGAATGCTGAAGTTATTTATTTATGCCAAATTTACAGAAATCTTTTACTACCCCCCTACCCCCCCGCCATGCTTAACCTCCTTATTTACTTGTCTTCTTCCCTGCCTTTTTCTTTGGATGCCACCCATTGCCCCAGCTCCTGTCAGGAAGCCTCGTGCAGTTCCTCCTTCTTCAGGGAGCTCTTCAGGCTGATAGAGCTGACCAGGCCCAGGCTGGGATGGCCTTCTTCTTTCTACCTTCGCCCAGCCCAGTTTCCCCTGGCCCTACAGAAAGCCTAGGATAATTATGCATGACGGGGCCAGAATTAGGTTTTTCTCTTTTTCTTCATTCCTATGGATCCACACCCTCATTTATTTTAAGCCTAAATTCACTGCTTATGGTCCTCTTCTTCAGGAGCTCCGGTTAACTGGGGGCCCTAGCCCAGCCATGTCTTTGTCCCTTGTCCCCTTAAAAAGACCTTGCTGATTCCGACTGGTATTCTGCTCTCATTTTTTTTTTTTTTGTCACTGTTTGTTTCAGGTTCATTGCAGAGCGTGGGGCCTCCCGTCTTCTAGAACATGTGGGCCAAATGGACAAAATATTCAAGATTCCCCCAACCCCAGGGAAGACAGGAGCCCTAGCTATCCGGCCACTGGAAGAGAATACTCCAAGCCCCATGGCTCCTATTTCCCAGCCTCGGTCAGTCTATGTTTCATGCTTTTGTGAATTGGGAGGAGGGGCTGCCTTCAAAACCTGAAGAATCTCAGGTGACTGGAATTCCTGCTATTGAGATGCTCTTGCTCTATTCACGGAGGTGTGCTTCTGCTTTCCCAGGCAAGGGTTTCTCTAACACAGGGAATCCTCAGGCTGTGAGCATGTCCCTTTCTCTAGTGGAGAAAGGGGCTCAGACCATGAGGCAGGCGGCATGCAGACGGGGCTCAGGCAGAGGGCTTAGGAGCAGGGGCTCTGGCTTTCTCCTCCTGACTTTGCCAAAGAATAGCTTGAATCTTGGGCTAGTTGCTTCAATTTGTAAGCTTTAGCTTCTTGATCAGTAAACTGGAGATAGAGATTGTGCTTATTGCAAGTGTTGTCCTGAGCTTTCCCGGGGCAGATAGTAAGTGCATAATAATTATTATTTGACAGAAGAGGGGTGCTTGAAAAGTGGCAAGTGGGGTTTAATTTCCTGGGCTCTGCATCTGGGTCTACAAGCAGCTTATTTTCCGGAGGCCTGCTAGACACCCCATTCCCCCCCAACTGTCTGTTGTACCTGGCTCATGCTCTGTGCCAAAGGGTGATCAGCTGTGTCTGGGGAATTGGGTTGTGGGGCTGATCCCCAGATCAAGCCCAGCCCTCTGCTTACATGCCCTCTGCTTACCCCCAGATGGCACAGCATCCGGATTTTCATTTCCTCTACTTTCCGGGACATGCACGGGGAGCGGGACCTGCTGCTGAGGTCTGTGCTACCAGCATTGCAGGCCCGAGCGGCCCCCCACCGCATTAGGCTTCACGCCATCGACCTGCGCTGGGGTGTCACTGAAGAGGAGACCCATAGGAACAGGTGTGGGGACCACCGAGAAGAGGGGCGGGTGGGGGCCATGTGGTGGGCAGGCTTGGGGCTGTAAGGATGCCTGAGGGAGGAGAGCAGTGGACGGCTCCTTGGTTGCTAACGAGCAGCCTGCCTTCCGCCACTGCTCAGTTGTGACTCAGGGCCCCGTCTCCACATTTGTGCCTGAGTTCCCTGATATGTGTGCCTGCAGACAACTGGAAGTGTGCCTCGGGGAGGTGGAGAATTCGCAGTTGTTTGTGGGAATTCTGGGCTCCCGCTATGGCTACGTTCCACCCACCTACAACCTTCCTGACCATCCTCACTTCCGCTGGGTAAGGCAGACAAGGTTGGAGCAGGGTCTGGGGAGGAAGCAAAGGTTGGGACAGGGATGGGGAGAAGCCATGGCTTGTCAAGAACCCTGGGACTGTGCAGAGGCTGGAAGTGGGACACAGGCAGAAGGGTCTGTGAGCTGCCAAGACCTAGAGGAGGTAGCTCCTTTGGGAAGTACCTCTGGGTTGTGTGTGGGACGCAAAAGGAAGAGGGTAGGTCTGTTTAGGTTTTGCCATCAGATGGATCTGGGTGCTGATCTCCCTTCAGCCCTTATATATGGGAAGTACCTTATTCTAGTCTGGCCTCAATTTCCCCGTATACTGAAGAAAAACAGTGGCATCCACATTGCAGGGTTATATGAGAATTAGCTAGTCTATAAAAAATACTCAATATGTGATGGGCATTCAGTAAGTATTAGCTGTTAGTTATATTTTACTGGCTGGAGGGAGGCGGGAGGAATATTCCTGAGAGGAAGGAGCTCTGAGGTCTGGGCAGATGGCAGGGGAGGGTCTGTGTGATATTGAACTGGGCCCGCCTGTTCTCTGCCTTCTCCCCCAGGCCCAGCAGTACCCGTCAGGTCGCTCTTTGACAGAGATGGAGGTGATGCAGTTCCTGGATCGGGGCCTCCGCCTGCAGCCCTCCGCCCAAGCACTTATCTACTTCCGGGATTCCAGCTTCCTCAGGTGCCTTGTCTGGCCTCCAGGCCTCGGTCTCTCCACAGAAGGCCAGACAGGCTCAGTGGCTACGTCTTTTTCCCCCCATGGTCAGAGTACTGGTAGAGGAAGGGGAGCTGGTAGAGGGAAACGGCTTGGAGGGCTGCCTTTGCCGCACCAGATCAGCCTCGGAGCTGAAGTAGGGAGAGCTCCCCTTGAGATTCAGGGAAACACAGCCAGGTCTGATGCGGGGAGGGGTTGGGGGGGAGCGGTGTGGAGAGAGGCTGGGGCCTGAGTCCACTCTTGGGGTTTCTTTGTGGTCAGCTCTGTGCCAGATCCCTGGAAACCTGACTTTACTCCTGAGTCCAAAGAGGCTGTACATCGGATCTCAGAACTGAAGAGCTACCTGAGTAAACAGAAAGGGGTTACCTGTCACAGGTGAGCTGGGGGAGGTGGAGAATCGCTGCGCAGAGAGATGTGGTGAGGGGAGCCAGGTCTCTGTAACGCTGCCTGTGCTTGCTTTGCCCACAGATACCCCTGTGAGTGGGGGGGTGTGGCCGCCGGCCTGCCCTATGTTGCGGGGCTGGAGGAGTTCGGGCAGCTGGTTCTGCAGGATGTATGGAGTGTGATCCAGAAGCTTTACTTACAGGTCAGCAGGAGCACGGGCAGCCAGGGGAGGGGAGAGGGGGCCGGGTGGTCTAGCTTCTCCTGGGTGGAGAGTGACTTTGTGGGGGCGCTGTGAGTCTTTGGCCTGTGGTCCTGAAACCTAGTCACTGCCCCTTGTGCCCTCAGCCCAGGGCCCAGCCGGAGCAGCCGGAGCAGCCGGCATCCATCCCAGATGATGACGTGGTCCAGGCCAGCTTCCAGCAGCTGCAGTGCCCACCAAGTTCCGCCCGACCTCGCCTTCTCCAGGACACAGTGCAGCAGCTGCTGCTGCCCCGAGGGAGGCTGAGCCTGGTGACCGGGCAGCCGGGACAGGGCAAGACCACTTTCCTGGTACAGAGTCTCAGGCCTGGGCAGGAGGAAGGGCGGGCTGTGTGGGCTGGGGAGGTGGGAGCCTGTGCGTGTAAAATGTGACCGTGTTTTCTGTTCCCTTCTCATACAGGCATCCCTGGTGACAGCCTTGCAGGTCGCTGATGGGGCCAAGGCAGCCCCCTTAGTCTTCTTCCACTTCTCAGGAGCTCGCCCTGACCAGGGTCTTGCCCTCACCCTGCTCAGACGCCTCTGTGCCTATCTGCATAGGCAACTGCAAGAGCCGAGTGCCCTCCCCAGGACCTACCGGTATGTATCTTCCCCATGAACCCTGCTTCTGGATGCCACATGCGGCCTCCCCTGATTATCCCTCTCTGCCGACTCTGGTCTTTCCCCTACGCATTCAGGGGCCTGGTGTGGGAGCTGCAGCAGAGGCTGCTGCCCAAGTCTGCACAGTCCCTGCCGTCTGGCCAGAGCCTGGTGCTGATCATCGATGGGGCTGACAGGGTGGTGGACCAGCATGGGCGGCCCATCTCAGACTGGATCCCAAAGACCCTCCCCCGGGTGAGTATGAGAAGGAGGCGGGGGTGGGGGGTAGAGGGTGGAGGGTGGATGCAACTGGGAGGAAAGGGCCTCTCCAACCCTGTTCTCTTTCCCTTCTGCCTCCATACCCTTTGCCCACATTTCACAGTCGGTGCACCTGGTGCTGAGTGTGTCTAGTGACTCGAGCCTGGGGGAGACCCTGGAGCAGAGCCAAGGGGCCCATGTGGTGGCCCTGGGGCCTCTGGATCCCTCTGCACGGGCCCGGCTGGTGAGAGAGGAGCTGGCTCTGTACGCGAAGCGGCTGGATGAGTCGCCTTTTAACAACCAGGTTGGACGGAGGCCAGGGCTGGTGGGTGTGTGGGGTGAAGCTGGGAGCTGTGGGGTCCACGGTGCAGAGGCAGCCAGCTGCCCTGCACAGACCAGCTGCTTCTTCATTTTCCCAGGGTCCCTGTGCCAGGGGAAGTTGTTAATAAGATAACTCATTCCCCAGCCTTTTCCCTGGCGAATGGCCTCTCTAGGCCCATCAGCGAGGGGAGGAGTGAAGATGTGGTTACTGGATGAGGGAGACGGGAGTCCCCAGAAAAGGGCTTGGCTGGGCAGAGCAGCATAGGGAAGGTGATGCCATCCTTGGATCTTTCCAGTGCTGGGGGTTCTCAGGGGAGGGGCTACTGTGCAGTGGGCTCTGTGCTGGACTGGAGGGCAGGGGGCGGAGGGCTGGCTGCGGGCAGGCTCTCTGGTGCCCATGTTGAGTCTCCTGAGTCTCATCAGATGCGGCTGCTGCTGGTGAAGCGGGGGTCAGCCCTGCCTCTCTACCTGCGCTTGGTCACCGATCACCTGAGGCTCTTCACACTCTACGAGCAGGTTGGCGGAGGATGGGAACCCCCATTGCTCATCTTCCAAGCCCTAATCCCACCGCCCCGTCTCCACTCAGCTCCTTTCATGCCCATCCCTCGCCTTCGCCCAGCCCCATCTTTTGCCGTCTTTGATCCACTCCAGCCCTGCTTTTTCGGATCACCTTTCCCCCAACCCTGCTTTTCTCTCACCTGTTTTTCTTCCCCTTTCATCCCTCCCCATGGTTTCTCCTGCTGCCCCTCCCCTCCCTACAACCAAAGCTGCCTCTCCTCTCCGCCCACTGACTGGCCTGTCTCTTCCCCTCCCAGGTGTCCGAGAGACTTCGGACCCTGCCAGCCACTGTCCCCCTGCTGCTGCAGTACATCCTGGGCACCCTGGAGAAGGAGCATGACCCTAACATACTGTGCCAAGCCTTGGCCACCCTTGGGGTCACACGTAGCGGTCAGTGTTTGGGGGTGGATTGGGAGGCTGAGGGCTCCGAGGTTGGATGACCTTGGTTGAACTGGGGTCTTCTCAAGCGGGGCGAGGAGGGACTAGGTATCCGGGGGACGGGGACACTGTGGTTTGGTGGGGGCCTCAGAGAGCTGGCCTTTTCAGGTCTCACTGTGGACCAGCTGCACGGAGTGCTGAGTGCATGGAAGGTTCTTCCTAGAGGGACCAAGACCTGGGAAGAAGCGGTGGCTGCTGGGAACAGGGGGGACCCCTACCCTATGGGGCCATTTGCCTACCTCGTCCAGAGTCTGCGCAGGTACGGATGCACCCAGCTGACCTCCTGTGTCTTCCTATCTTTGAACCAGGGCCCCATGTGGTCTCTTTTCCACCCTACCCTTCCTCTGCATAGCCACTGACACCTGTCTCCCAGGGTGACTTCCCTCTATTTGAGGTGGGAATGGGAGTTCACAGCTGTGCCAGGGTGCTCTCTGACGGGCCTTCCTCTCTTCTTCCTTCTCTCCCACACAGTTTGCTAGGGGAGGGCCCCCTGGAGCGGCCTGGGGCCCGGCTCTGCCTCCCTGCCGGGCCCCTGAGGACAGCAGTTAAAGGTCGGTATGGGAAGAGGCTGGAGCTGGAGAGCACAGCACACGTCCTCATAGCAGGTAACTGCGGCTCAGATTAGCCCGGGCCACTGAGTGTGGGGCCCTGGCACCAAGGCTAGGCCCATGCACTGCTGCTGCCTTTGGGCTGGCCTCCCCAGCACCTCCGTGGGTGGGCGGCTTGCTGGAGCCTGAAGGATGCAATCTTTGGAGATGCGCCAGGGCTGAATCATCTCCGTGTCCTTCCTCTGACCTCCAGCTCAGCTCTGGAAGACCTGCGACCCCGATGCCTCAGGCACCTTCCGCTCTTGCCCCCCTGAGGCTCTGGAGGACCTGCCTTACCACCTGGTTAGTTCCCACATCCCACAGGCGCCTTCTCCCAAGCTCCTACTCTTACAGTTCTGAGACCCCCTCTCTCCTTTGACCACACCCATCACCACTGCCATTGCCCCTTCCAACTCCCTCTACTTTTCTCCTTTTGGTTTTCCTGCCCTCCTGTTTTGGATCCTTGGTCCGAAACCCCAAGTCTCGGTCCCAGCTGCTCAGGCAGGTCCAAGACCCCCTCGCCAGCCTCTAACACAGCCCTGCGAATCCACTCCGGTCCCCTCAGCTCCAGAGCAGGAACCGTGGCCTTCTGGCGAAGTTCCTCACCAACCTCCACGTGGTGGCTGCACACCTGGAACTGGGTCTGCTCCCTCGGCTTCTGGAAGCCCATGCCCTCTACGGTGAGATGGGTCCCCGGTGGCTTCTTCTTTGAGATATGGGGCTCCTGGGTGTGTTCACGGGGGGCCTGCTCAGAGGGAGGTGTCAGGGAAAGAAAAGTCCAATTCCCATTCCAAGTGGGAAATGCCAAGAGGATGAGCAAATGAGTCTCGAGGGACCTTTTGCCCAGATCTCTTAGATGAGAGGTTCTCAGACTCTACTCAGTGGGTAGGTATACAATTACTTGGGAAACGTGTTCAGAATGAAGAGCTCTGGGCCCACAGAGTCCGGTTGCCAAGGTCTGGAGGGGGGTCCTTTTAACGGATGTCCCTGAGGTGGGGCCAGAGGGCCACACTCTGAGACTCACCATTTTAGATGTATGTATTGGTGCTGGGGTCCATGGGGGTCCAGGCTGGCTCCCCAATCTGCGTCTCTTCCATAGCTTCCTCAGTACCTGAAGAGGAACAGCAGCTTCCCGAGGCTGACATCGCTGCATTCCACACGTTCCTGAAGCAGCAGGCTCCAGTCCTCAGTCAGTACCCCCTGCTCCTGCCTCAGCAGGCAGCCAACCAGCCCCTGGACTCGCCTGTTTGCCGCCAGGCCCCCCAGCTCTCCCAGCGGTGGCACCTCCAGCGCATGCTAAAATGGCTTAACAAACCCCACACCATGGAGGGCCAGCAGAGGTAAGAAACTTAATCCCAGACTCTGAAAGCCCCCCAAAGAGCAACCGGCAGCCTTTCTGAAACTGGACAACAGAGGCGAGATCAGCCAGAGTCACCGCTGGAGAGAGGAACCCAGGCACAGAAATGCAGAAATGAATTCCTGTTTCCTTCCCTGCGTTCCTCACTTCCTCCCTTTCTTCCTGCTCTTTCTCTAGCTCCAGCCTGTCCCTGGCAGTTTCCTCATCCCCCACAGCAGTGGCCTTCTCCCCCAGTGGGCACAGAGCCGCCGTGGGCACTGCCAGTGGGACGGTTTACCTGTTGGACCTGAGAACCTGGCAGGTATGGCACGCACGGTGGGGCAGTTTACCTTCCCAAACGGCCTTGGGACCCCAACAGGCCAAGCCCACCTGCTGCCACCCTGTTTGATTCAGCAACTCTACTTCCCTCACATCAGATCAAAAGGGCTGGGGCAAAAATCAGTCACACAGCAACTACTTGCCATAGGCCTTCTGTTCAAGGCACTGTTGTAAGCATTGCAGGGAACACAGGGCCTAGGACATTATCTTTGCCTGCCAAGTGGTTACTTTTGGTTGAAAGATGAGACGTAGCACGCAAAGAGGAACCAAAACCTAGTGGTGCCTCATAGATGAGAGCTAAGCTGTACGGTGACCGTAGGATACTAGACAGAGAAGAGCAGGCCTTCCTGGTTGGCTGAGGAGGAGCCTGAGCAGGGACCCGGGGAAGAAGGTCTCCTGCAGATTTCGGGAACAGTTGCAGCAGAGGGTGAAGGCTGGAGAGGCGGGCCTCTCATCTTTCTGCCCATATCACACCTCCCATGTGTCTGTGTACAGTCACCCATTCCCTACCCAGACCCACCAAAGTGTCCCCTGATTAGGGATATGTATGGAATTTGGGGTGGGGAACAAGGTGTGACCCCATCTGGATTACCAGGCTCTCGTTGGACCTGAGCGTGGCCTAGGTCTGGAGCGGGGCCCAAAGCTTTGCACTTTTAGCAGGTGTTCCAGATGTGGGGCCACATGTGGAGGCTTATGTAGAGAATGTAGAGAGCCAGGGATGCCAGCCCTTCTTGCCATGATATCCATTTTGCTTGGGGCTTGGATTGGCTGGACATGGGGGGAGGAAGAGAGGGGGTTCGAGGGAGTGATCTGAGCGCGCTTCCCCGCTCACGCTCACAGGAGGAGAAGTCTCTGGTAAGCGGCTGTGACGGGGTCTCCTCTTGTTCGTTCCTCTCGGACAATTCCCTCTTTCTTACTGCCTTCGACGGGCTCCTGGAGCTCTGGGACCTGCAGCATGGCTGTCGGTAAGGGCTCTCCCAGGTCTCGGAGTGGGGGCCTTTCCTGTTTGTGGGGAGCCCGGGGGGAGGCGGGGATGAGGGGAAGCCTGTAGCCAGATGGCCCCGGGGCCTAACTCTGTCTCCCTGGGGTAGGGTGCTGCAGACCAAGGCTCACCAGTACCAAATTACCAGCTGTTGCCTGAGCCCGGACCGCCGGCTGCTGGCCACTGTGTGCCTAGGGGGGTGCCTAAAGGTAATGCCTGGGCTCTGTGGCAGTCGGCATTGCCCTAATGCTGCCTCAGCCTGGGAGGCTGCTCTGTCAGTATGGCAGGGGCTGCTGACTGCTTGGCCGGGGGAGGCCCTTCCTGCTGAGGGTGGGGACTGGACAGGGAGATCCCTGGAGCTGTGGGATGAGGGGCTCAAGCCGCTGCCTTCCTTCCCTTTCTCTCCTCCAGCTGTGGGACACAGTCCACGGGCAGCTGGCCTCCCAGCACACGGCTCCCAAGCCCGTGAACTGTGTTGCTTTTCACCCAGAGGGGCAGGTGCTAGCCATCGGCAGCTGGGCTGGCAGCTGCAGCTTCTTCCAGGCGGATGGACTCAGGGTGATCAAGGTGAGACGGTCCGGCGTGGCCCTGGGGGAGGACACGGAGGTGGGCGGGGAAGGCGGGGAATGATGGACGTCCACGTCTCGTGTCCCTTTGGGCTGTGTGGAGAGCAGCCCTGACACTTCTGTTTCCACCTCCCCGCATAGGAACTGGGAGCCCCGGGAGCCTCTGTCCGCACCGTGGCCTTCAATGTGCCTGGGCGGGTGGTGACCGTGGGCCGGCTGGACAGGATGGTGGAGCTGTGGGCCTGGCAGGAGGGGGCGCTGCTGGCTGCCTTCCCTGCCCACCATGGCTTTGTGGTGGCTGCCCTTTTCCTGCGAGCTGGGAGCCAGTTACTGACAGCTGGAGAGGACGGCAAGGTCAGGGGTCAGAGGGCCGGGAGAGGGTTCCAGGGAAGGAGGGCAGAGGCGGGGAATGCTTATGGAGGGTGGGCCTTTGTGGAGGGGACTGTGGAGATAGCGAGGCTGGTGTGAGCCTCAGGGAGAAGGTGTGGGTGTGGGTACAGGAGGCTCTCAGAAGACTGTTTGGAAGGAGGACTTTAACAGGGTGGCTGTCACTCTGGGGTGGGAGCGGGGTATCTGTAAGCCCTTTGATCGGCCCTCAGGTTCAGGTGTGGTCCGGGTCTCCGGGTCGGCCCCGTGGGTCCCTGGGCTCCCTTTCTCTCTCTCCGGCCCTCGCCGTGGCTCTCAGCCCAGATGGTCGTCAGGTGGCTGTTGGATACCGAGCCGATGGCATCAGGATCTACAAAGTATCTTCAGGTACAAAGGGAGAAAGGATGGGGTGTTTGAGCCTTTGGAAAGAGACCCCCTCCTTTCCACGTGTCTTCCTCTCTTGTTTTCTCTCATTCTCTAGGTTCTCAGGGGGCTCAGTGTCAGGCACTGGATGTGGCAGTGACGGCACTGGCCTGGCTGAGCCCAGAGGTGTTGGTGAGTGGTGCGGAAGATGGCTCCCTGCACGGCTGGGCCCTCCAGGAGAGCGCCTTTCAGTCCCTCTGGCTCATGTCCAGACACCAGAAACCTGTGCTGGGCCTGGCCTCCTCCCAGGAACTCTTGGCTTCTGCCTCAGGTACTGCTGGCAGTGGTGGGCAGGGTTGTGAATCACTGAAAACACACAGACACACACACACACACACACACACACACACACACACAGTTTTCCCTTTAAAAAAAATTTTTTTTTACAACTTTAAAAGTCCTTTATCTTTTTTTTTTTTTACAACTTTATTTTGCACAATTGGTCTAGACCAGTGGTTGGCAAACTCATTAGTCAACAGAGCCAAACATCAACAACACAACAATTGAAATTTCTTTTGAGAGCCGAAAACCGACTTCTGTACATGGGCCATGAAGTTTCAGTCACACTGTACCTGTGCCCCCGCACGTGGTATTTTGTGGAAGAGACACACTCAAGGGGCCAAAGAGCCACATGTGGCTCGAAGCCTCGGTTTGCCGACCACTGGTCGAGACTGTTTTTTCTTGTTCTTTAACCTGATTCGGGGGCCTCTTTGCAGTTTTCATGATCCTTTGAGTACCTGCCCAGTGGGGGACTTTACTGTGTAAAGGGATGGGTTTCCCTCAGGAGATGAGAGACATGTGGAGGTGGAAATGCAAGGTGGCCTCAGTCCTCTCTCTGTAGAAGGCTGGGTCCCAGTGACACTGGACACTGGGGAGGGGAGGGTCTGGAGGTGCGGCAGGGAGCTGGAGAGAGACAGCTGCAGAGCCGGGGCTGGGAGAGCCTGGCATCTTACCCTGTATACTCAGGTGATGGCTGACCCTGGTCCAGGGCCTCTGTACGGCCTGTGATCACTCCTCCCTCCCTTGGAGCTGTGCCCTCAGTCCCCGTGATCGCCTTTGTCTTTGGCCTCCGGGCTAGTGTTGCTTCCTCTCTCAGGGACTCTTCCTCTCTCCCTCTTTCCATGCAGAGGATTCCGCAGTGCGGCTGTGGCCACGGCAGTTGCTGACACTGCCACAAAAGGCGGAACACTTACCCCGTGCCACCGAACTGTGGGGACATACGGGCCCCGTCAACTGCTGTAGCTTCAGCACTGATGGGTGCCGCCTGGCCACCGGGGGCCGGGATCGGGTGAGCCACTCTCCCTTCTCCCCCGGTTCCTGAACAGCCCAATGTCTGGTGCTTCCTCCAGCTTTTTGCTTGATCTGCCCTCCTTCCTTCATGAATACATTCTCTCTCTCCTTGAAACTTCTTGTCTGTGATGGTCCTGGTGTCCCTCTCTCCCTCTCATGGTCCTGACTCGTCATCTTTTGGGACCTATCCAGAGTCTCCTCTGCTGGGATGTGAGGACACCCACAGCCCCTGTGCTGATTCACTCCTTTTCTGCCTGTCACCGTGACTGGGTCACTGGCTGCGCCTGGACCAAAGACAACTGGCTGGTGAGTGAAGAGTAGAAGGGTGTGAAGCTCAGCAGGGCTCCTGGGGGAAGACAGCACTCCCCATCTGGTCCTTTCCTGACACCCGTTTGGAATAGTAATAGCTAACACCCAGCGTGGCTCAGTGGTTGAGTGCCGACCTATGAACCAGGAAATCATGGTTCCATTTCCAATCAGGGCACATGCCTGGGTTGCGGGTTCAATGCCCAGAGTGGAGTTGGTGTAGGAGGCAGCCGATCAATGATTCTCTCTTATCATTGATGTTTATATTTCTCTCCCTCTCTTCTCCTTTTTGAAATCAATAAAATATATGTTTGAAGAAATAGTAACAGCTGACATTTATTGAGCCGTGAGTATGTGCCATGCATTGGACTAAGCTCTTTACACATATTGCCTCATTTAATCTTTACAATGCCCTGTAAAGTAGATACTGCTATCATGTTTTACAGAGAAGAACATTGAGTTCAGATAGATTAGAGGACATTTCCAAGGCCGTGGAAGTGATAAAACCAAACCAGTAAACTTTCTGATAAGAAAGCTCATGCTCTTGACAAGAGCACGCAAAACTGTCTCCCAATAGTTTAGGATGCCCCATCCCTGCAGTAAAAGGGGATACTGTTATTTCTTTGTTCTAAGGCAACACTCGAGGTTGGGGAAGCCTAGTTTTCTAATGGAGAGTCCCCATGTTCTCAAAAAGAGATGGGAAAGGAGAGAGTAACGTGAATAGACTTGTCACCGTTTGTCCTTCTCCTGCCTTCTAGGCAGCCACCCCTTTCCTTGGCATTGTAGACTTTTCACCTTTGTCTAGATTTGTTGACTGACAGTATGTCAATACCAAGGACAATAGCTACTACCTTGTTTCCCTGAAAATAAGACATCCTCCGAAAATAAGACCTAGCGCATGGAAAGATAAGACATCCCCTGAAAATAAGACCTAGCACAACTTTGGGAGAAAAATTAATATAAGACACTGTCTTATTTTCGGGGAAACAGGGTATGTATGCATTACTCATTGTGTACCTGGCAGCTGTGCTAAATACCTCTTTATAGATGCATCAGCCCCACAGCAACAGAGGCAGATAGGCGAGCTGTCATTATCCTGGTTGGATAAAAACCTAAGGCTTAGTAGGGGTGTCGAACTCAATCAGAGAAGGGGCCAAAATCTAAAATCCAGCCTAAATCGCGGGCCGAATGGTTTACTGAACAGTCATAAACTGTCATTGTGATGGAAACGCAGCGGAGTGCAGTGATGACAGCGCGGTGCGGGCCACATTGCAAGGCCTGGTGGGACGGATTTGGCCCGCGGGCCTTGTGTTTGACACATGTGGCTTAGAGAGACGAACTTGCCCCAGGTCACAAAGTAATGAATGGTGGAGCTAGGATTTGAACCTAGGATATCAGTCACAAGGTGTACTGCTCTCCATTTCATTCATATATATATATATATACACACACACACACACACACAAACAAAAACTGCTGGAGGGATGCTGATTCTCCCTCTCCTCTGACTCTGCAGATCTCCTGCTCCAGCGATGGCTCTGTGGGGCTGTGGGACCCAGAATTGGGACAGCAGCTTGGTCAGTTCCTGGGTCATCAGAGTGCCGTCAGCGCCGTAGTGGCCGTGGTGAGAAGGCAACACAGAGTTTCCTGGGGTCTCTGGGAAGGCCAAGGGTGCCCTGGGAGACTAGATGCATTGAGTATCTAGCCCCAAAGACAAAGGGGTACAAAGAATGAGGTGTTTGGGCCTGGATTAGAGCAGGTTTAGGGTGCTGAGGCTGAGAGTTGGTTTGAAGGGAGGGCAAGCGTGAAAACACAGAATCTTAAATGTATGACCTTGTGGGAGGATTGCAGCCACGAATGACTCAGCTTTAGGCCCCCAGTTCTCCTCACTCGTTAAAATCTTCTAAGCCTCTAGTTCTCAGCCCACAGCTCTGTGGTGGGGTTGGACTTCCCAGGTCTTACTTATTGTGACTCTGCTCTGGGGCAGGAGGAGCATGTGGTGTCTGTGGGCCGGGATGGAACCTTGAAAGTGTGGGACCATCAGGGAGTGGAGCTGACCAGCATCCCTGCTCACTCAGGACCCATCAGCCATTGTGCAGCTGCTCTGGAGCCCCGTGCAGGTGAGGAGATGTCAGCCACCTTCCCTCCCCGGCTGCCTCTTCCCCGCCCCCGCCCCCCCCCCCCCCCGTGTTTCCTCTTTTCCTCTTCTTCTCACTCATTCTCCATGTCTTATCAGCTTGCCAGCCTGGGTCAGAGCTTCTGGTGGTGACTGCTGGACTGGATGGGCTCACACGGTTGTGGCATCCGCTCTTGGTGAGTTTCCTGAAAGGATAAGTGGGGGAGGTGGAGTGGGATAACCTTCTGTGTGTCCATCCCCTATTGTCCCATCTTCGTCTTTTCTTCCTAGGTGTTTCAAACACATACCCTGCTGGGACACAGTGGCCCAATCAATGCAGCAGCTGTTTCAGAGGCCTCAGGCCTCCTGCTGACCTCCTCGGAGGATGGTTCCATTCGGCTCTGGCAGGTACTGGAGGAAGCAGGTGAGTGAGGTGCGGAGAAAGGCAAGGTATGAAAGAGGCTTGTGTAACTGGGACCAAGAAGGTCAAGGGTAGCCCGATATCTCCTCTTGTATCCCAGCAGAGGTCCAGCTCCTAATGAGTCCCACTGCTCTCTCCTCCAGATGAGGCAAATATACCTAGGAATCCTGCAGCCATCACAGCTGTGGCCTGGGCCCCAGATGGTTCTGTGGCAGTGTCTGGGAATCAGGCTGGAGAACTAACCTTATGGCAAGAAGCTAAGGCGGTGGCCACAGTACAGGTGAGTTGGGCACTCTCAGTTCATTGTCCATGTGAATTCTGCCCCTGCTATGTGTTTGATGGCCTGGGTTGGAGGTTGCAGAGGCGCCTGGGAGAGGAAAGAGGGTGAATCCTGGCTTCTCAGAAATACTGAAATGACGTTGTGCACACCAGGCTCCTGGCCGCATCAGTGCCCTAGTCTGGTCCTCGGCAAACACCTTGGTCGTTGTCAGTGCTGATGAAAAAGTCAGCGAGTGGCAAGTGGAACTGCAGAGGGATTCAACACCCAGAACTTTCAGGTGAAACAAAGCAGCCGGGCTAATGTGGTAGGAATGGTAGTCTCCTTACGCCCAGGATTTTACTCAAATCACTGCACCTCTGCTTTTGAACTGGGTCAATAGGATGCTAGTTGTTAGGCAGACAAAAGTCCCTAGAAAACTGTTTTCTGCTCCCAGTCATCTCAATTTAAATAATAACTAGCCTACTTCATTCTAAGCTATGGGTCAGGTAGTATGAACTAATTGTGTTAATTAAGAGAGCTCACAGTAGAGGAGTGTGCATGTAACTAAACTGCCAACAGTATTCAGAGGGATTAGTGCTACAATAAATATGTAAAAATATCTATAAATACATTTATAGATATTTATATATATCCTGGGGCTGCAGAATTGGAGAAATTTGCATTTTATGTAAGAGTTGCTGTTTGAGGTTGGCCTTAAAGGATGAGTAGGAGTTTTCTGAACCAGCAAGGGAAGGGAATGGAGTTGTAGGAAGAGGAAGTAGCATTAAAAGTGGCACGGAGCCATGAGAGTGCATGATGTATTCTGAGTATGCACAGCCAAGTCTTTGTGTTCTTGGTGGGAGGTTGGGGTAGGATTTTAGATTGAGGAGATAAAAGGTCCGGGCCATAGAGGTGGTAAGAATTTTGAACTAGGTCAATAGGATGCTGGTTATTAGGCAGAAAAATGTCCCTATCTGGATAATTATCTGGATTTTTAGAAAGATAACTCTGGTGGCAGTAAGGAGGATGTATAGTAGAGAGAGATGCTAAAGGTAGGGAGACCACTGTTACAGCATTTGCGATAGTCAGGGAAGACATAATGTGGGTCTTGACCAGGGACAGTGGGGGTGAGAAGGAGAGATCCAGATGTAGGCATGTGCTACAAGTAGGATCCACAGAGCTTACTGATCCCTTGGAGGTCAGGAGGGAAGGAAAAGGCAAGAATGTTGGAGATTCCTAGTTTGAGCAAGTAAGGGGATGGTGATGATGAACACTGACACAATAAAAACAGAATGAGGAATGGAATTTGTAGGGAAGAGAATACATTTTGTTTTCTACTTCACTGAGGTGTCTCTGAGAGGTGGACTAACGTAGGCTCTTTCTCTTCCCCTGTGCCTGTTGAGCTACAGTCTCCGCCTGAACCGAGTTCTGCAGGAGAACTTAGGGTTCCTGACAGGTGTGGGCCTGGCCCCTGATGGCCACTCCCTCATCTTGGCTACGGCGGATATGAAGTTATTGCACTTGAAGCCAGGGGAAGCTCCCTCTGAAATCTGGTAAGATCCAAAATGTAGTTTCCTCTCAGGCTGGAGAAAGAGGGAAAAGGGGTTAGTGGTTACCCTGAGGTTGGGTCTGACTGAGGACAAGTGCTGGGGTCTTAACGTCAGGTGTTCCTGGGCTCAGCCTCTTTCTGCCTTGTAAACCAGGCACGACTACTCAGAACATCCTATGATGCTCTCCACCCACCAGGACTATGGTGTGTTTGCCCTGCAGCCAACGGCCCCCGGAAGTCTTTCTGTCTTAGTAAGTCCTGTATGGGTGTGTGTTAAAATAAAGATTTGTCCAGAACCAATATTTTAAAACCTTGGGGCCATGATGGAGGATAAGAGAAAAGGAAAGGTGGTTGGTTCCAAATCTCCTTCTCTTCTTCAACTGGAGCAGCTATACTTAAACACATTGTATATTGACTTTCCCTCTAAGATTTCATTGAATAATAATAAAAAAAAATGCTAGTGTTTAAGAAAACCATGGGAAACAATAAATTTAGGTGTTTTCTTAATTGCATTTGTTGTCTCTTACAACTATATTAGTATCTGGAATGATGCAGACATATCTCAGAGGTATTATTTTGAGTGAAAGAAGCCAGACACAATAGAGTACGTATTACATGATTTCACTTAAATGAAGCTTAAGAACAAGCAAAATTGCCCTAACCAGTTTGTCTCAGTGGACAGAGCGTCAGCCTGCAGACTGAAAGGTCCCAGGTTTGATTCCAGTTAAGGACATGTACCTTGGTTGTGGGCACATCTCCAGTAGGAGATGTGCAGGAGGCAGCTGATTGATGTTTCTCTCTCATCAATGTTTCTAGCTCTCTATCCCTCTCCCTTCCTCTCTGTAAAAAATATCAATAAAATATATTTTTAAAAGTACAACTAAAATTAATTTATAGTGAGAGAAGTCAGAATATTGTTAGCTCCCAGGGTAGAGGTCTCTGGTATTGACTGGGAAGAGGCATGAAGGCAGCTTTCCAACATGATGGAAATGTTCTATGTTTTGATCTGGACAATGATTGCATGGATGTGCAAAAATTCATCAAGATATACAGTTAAGATTTATGCATTTTACTATATCTGAGTTACAGTTTGAAAAAAAATCCTGACTAGCCCTAGCTGGTTTCGCTCAGTGGATAGAGCATTAGCCTGGTGACTGAAGGGTCCCAGGTTTGATTCTAGCCAAAAGCGCATGCCCAGGTTGTGGGCTTGAACCCCAGTAGGGGGCGTGCAGGAGACAGCCAGTCAATGATTCTCTCTCATCATTGATGTTTCTATCTCTTGCTTCCTCTCCCTTCCTCTCTGAAGAAAAAAAAAAAAAGAAAAAGAAAAAAAGAAAAAATCCTGACCAGTCCAGAAGAGAAAATAGATGCTTTTGTCTGGGCCAGGTTAAATGACACAAGTAGGCTAAACAAAATGACGTGTCCTTTCACAGAGGCAAAAGGAGTCTGGAGAGTTTGAAGAGCGCCTGGACTTTGATCTGAATTTAAAGAATCCCAATGGGACCCTAATATCAGTAACTCAGGCCAAACCTGAATCTGGTGAGTGGTGAGGGGAGGACCCAAAAAATCTAGAGGTGGTCTAGGGGAACATGGTGGACCCTTTAAAGACTGAGACCTGGCTCTAATGCTGCCCTTGGAATGGCAGAGTCCTCCTATTTGTGTGCCAGCTCCGATGGGATGCTGTGGAACCTAGCCAAACGCACCTTTGAAGGAGAATGGACCACAGGTAACATCTGGCAGGAAACAGTACAAACACCTGAAAGCCAAACTACAGAAATAGACTCATCTGAGAGTAGTGACATGGAGAGCTGGCCAACAACCCCAAGTCTAAAGACACGGCAGCGTAAAAAGGTGAGTTTGAGGGAAGGGTTACAAATACAGGGGATGAGGCTGTAGGTCTGACTAAGGAGGGCCCACGAGAACTCACCATACATTTGCCCTCCCTCTCTAAGATTCACTCAGGCTCTGTCACGGCCCTCCATGTGCTGCCTGAGTTGTTGGTGACAGCTTCGAAGGACAGAGATGTTAAGCTGTGGGAGAGGCCCAGCATGCAACTGGTAAGTGTGCGTATGGGCAATGAGGGCTGAAAGAATGTCACAAGGAAGCAAACTTGGGATAAGAAAGTTCAAAAGATCAAAATTCTATTTTCTTCTGTCCTTCTTGCAATACGTGACTAACGTGTTCTAAATAAAAAGCACTAATGTGAGAGAAGAACAAGGTAGTAAGGAGGCCCTGGGTTTGGAGTTCTCATCTCCCTCTTTTTTGTTCTCATTGTAGCTGGGCCTGTTCCGGTGCGAAGGGGCAGTGAGCTGTCTGGAACCTTGGCTGGGGCCTGACTCTGCCCTGCAGCTTGCAGTGGGAGACACACAGGGCAATGTATACTTTCTGTCCTGGGAATGAAGATGCATTACTCAGGGCAGCGGTACCATCTGTGCTAGAGGTGCAAGCCTGAAGACACCGGTGGAAACTTTCTTGATAAAATTATTAAAAAAAAAAAAATAATAACCCAAACCCGTTTGGCTCAGTGCATAGAGCATCAGCCTGCGGACTCAAGGGTCCCGGGTTCGATTCTGGTCAAGGGCATGTACCTTGGTTGCTGGCACATCCCCAGTGGGGGATGTGCAGGAGGCAGATGATCGATGTTTCTCTCACATGGATATTTTTAACTCTCTATCCCTCTCCCTTCCTCTCTGTAAAAAAATCAATAAAATATATTTTAAAAATTATAAAAATAAAGTATCAAGAAATTTCAAGTGAAGTCCTGCCTGAGTTCTCATGTGGATTTGGACCAATTGGGAAGAAAATGGATGTTACAATGTTTCTTTTCTGATTTAAGATGAAGTTCTACTAGAACTGCAAGAAAGTGAGCCAGATCTTTAGTAGATATTCTTTGAAACTAGGTTTTAAAATTCTTGTGTCATTTGCTGGGCCTGGAAGCCCAAGATACCACTTCTGCCTGGAGGAGGAATGCAAGTGATGTTGGCCAGCACTGAACTGGAGACCTCTCACTTGGTCAAGAAAAAATAAGGGAAGGAAAAGTCGATAGAGCTCCAGTCCCTTTAGAAGGAACTGGGATAGAAGTGGGAAAATACTAGGTTCATTTTAGAGAAACAGTCCCATGTACTCAGAACTAACTGCCCAGATGAGCACTGAAAGAGTCTACTGGCTTTCACAGTCTCTGCCGGAACAGCAGCAGCCACGTGGCTTGCAAGCATAAGTCAGCACAATCATCTGCATTTTTTTAAAAAAAATTATATTTTTATTGATTTCAGAGAGGGAGAGGCAGATAGAAAAATCAGTGATGAGAGAGAATCATTGATTGGCCACTTCCTGCATGCCCCACACTGGGGATTGAGCCCACAGCCTGGGCATGTGCCCTGACTGGGAATCGAACTGTGACCTCCTGGTTCATAGGTTGACATTCAACCACTGAGCTACCAGCTGGGATCATCTGCATTCTTGGAAGAGATAAAAAAAGCATATCTTTTTCAAATTCAAGTTCACAAAGGTTAAAATGAGTTGAAAGGGGGAGGCTTTTAATTACAGACTTACCAGAGACTGTGATCCTCTTAAGTAAAAGTTCTAGAACTTCTTACTTTCTTGTAATTCTGTCCTATAGAAGAAGTTACCTGAGGCCCTTTCTACGGGTGAAACAAGGGTTAAGGGTCTTGTGTGTCCAAGAATTCAAGTACTTGTATGTGATAAGCCAGGGCTATTACAGGGTGTTGTCCTAGGTTGATAGGGTTTTTTCAGAGAAATACAACTGCACTCTAGTCTAGACATGAGATTTGGGGACTTGAGTGGGATATTTTGTTCTTATTTCACCCTGATTCTATTGTAGATTTTACATGGAGAAATCACCTGAGGGACTTTATTTCTCTCCATCTCTCATGGTCTCCCTCACCCAAAGGATAAAGACATAAGGAACACCGTGTATTCATTTTTGTTTTCTTGGTTACATACCTAGGAGTGGAATTGGTATGTCATATGGTAACTGAGGAACTGCCAAACTATTCTTCAAAGCAACGTCATCATCTTACATTCTCATGTAATATATAAGGGTTCCAATTCATCCGCACCTTCACTAACTTGTATTGTTGGTCTTTCTTATTATAGCCCTCTAGGGGGTGTCAAGTGGCATCTCATTGTGGTTTTGATTTGCATTTCCCTAATATCCGAAGATTTTGAACATCTTTTCACGTGCTTATTGGAATTTGTATTTCTTCTTTGGGTAAATGTCCATTTAAATCCTTGGTTTTTCTTTGGATTATTTGTCTTTATCTTTGAATTGTAAGAATTGTTTCTGTATTCTGGACACCTGTTGAGTCCTAAAACACAAAGTGGTGGGAGACCTGGTGTGCAGTTGATAAACAGGGAAAAAGGCAAGTGAGAAGACCTGATTGGGAAAAAAGGACCAATTCAGCTTTTGCTGCCTCTATTATCCTTGTAATAATAACCAACAAATTCCAGTCCTGGAAATGAAGATACACTAACATAAGAAGAAATATGTGCTTGTAGAAGTAAAGCCCAAAGAAGCCAGTGATAGATCTGTACTATTTTTATTACATAAAATAAGAAAAAGTTCAAAAGTAAACATTGTTTATTTCCTTGCTTGAAGATATCTTCTCTGGTTTATTTAATATCAATGTTACCACAGCTGTAGGAAATTAAATTTAACCTTTAGAAGGTATCGCATACGGACCTGGTTGGGGTTATAGACAATAAATTCATTGTAGTTGAGGGTATAACCATCTGGATTCAGAACTCCTGTGTCATGTGCTGGTCCTAAGGGCACTGTACTCCCATTCCTGCCAAATAGAGGAAAGCATGTCAACATTTGCCTCTGGTTCAGAAGTTGAAACAGAGAAAGTAGAGCCCTGTCTAGCCAAAAGGAGTTCTCTCGTCCTCCAAGCTCTGAGTACTTACAGGGTGACGAAGCTCGCAGGATTGGGAGCCATCTTGCCCAGTCCTTTGGTGCTGTGTTTGCCCTGAAGTAATCCTTCTGCCTCTGGGTTGGCCTCCAGTAGCTCATTACACTGACCTAGAGCTACCTGCAAAGCAAAAGATCTTTGAACGCCCACCCCCTACCAAGGATTGGATGGCTCTGAAGCCAACAGAAAAGCCCATCAGTACGTTCTTCCCCTATAGCAGAGGAATCAAATGCAATGGAAATAGTACTTGGCTCCCCATTCAAGTTCACTAGTGGTCAAACTTTTTGTTGGAAAAATAGGGACAATAAACTAGAGATCATAGAGTGTTCTTGCCCTACCTCTGATAGGAGCAGTAATCCAATATCCTTTAGGCGAGAGGCAAAGCAATAATTGGCACTCTTGGAAGACATGTCAGCAAAGTAGATTCCTTTTCCAAACTGAAATATATAAATGAACACCAACGTCAGCAGCTTAATGTATTGTGTTAAAAGGGAGGCTCACATCACTAATCCTGAGTTCCTATAACCTTAAACACAATAGAGACCTTTTCCCATTTTCCGTCACGGTTATGTTCCAGAGAACCTTAGCATTGGTGAATCTCTACTTCTGGGGGGAAAGGATGGATATATCTAAGAATTTAAAAAAAGAGGGACATAGTAAAAAGTGAGCCTGGCCCTGGCCTGTGTGGCTCAGTTGATGTTGTCTCATACACCAAAAGGTTGCGGGTTCAATTCCCAGTCAGGGTACATATCCAGGTTGTGGGTTTAATCCCCAGTTGGGGCATGTATGGGAGGCAACTGATTAATGTCTCTCTCTAAAATTTAAAAAAAAAAAATTAAAAAAAAAAAAGTGAGCTGGTTTAATGCTTAGAAAGGGCACCACTAATCACAATCTAGGGGGGGAAAGGACTAGGCCTGAGAAAATTATTGTATCCTTTTACCTTGTGCCTCCTTCTAGGGTTCAATTTCTACTCACCATGTAACCTGTGATGGGAGCCTCGGGTGGGGCAATCTGAAGCCCATGGCTCAGGATTCCTACCCAGTTACTCAGCCTGGAACCATGCCATAGCAGCATCCTAAGGAAAAGCCATTATTGTTGTTGTCTCTGGTGCTCTCCTGCAAACATAGGCTCTGAGCATAAAACCAACAGCTCTCTGTGCCATCCTTCCCTTAGTTCCACAGCTGCACTCCAGGCAAGGGAACATCTTCCCAAACCCAAAGCTAAACTGAGACCTGTTATGAAGGTCCTCTTTGAAGGCTTCTTTCTCACCCTCCTTCTCTACTTCAAAAACATCCAGCAAGGTCATGGTATAGTCACTGTGTGTGGGAGCATGGGTAGATTGAAGGTACTGGGAAATTACCTGTGAAAAAGAATGAAAGAAACGGCCAATGTGGAATCTATAATAGACCAGACTAAGCTGAGAACTCCAGAGCCTCTGGTATAAATCGACAGACCTTTCTGCTCCCAAATGGTCTCACAAGGCAGTCAGAAAGAGCTCTACCATCTCAAATTTCTAGTAAACAGAAATTCTGTCCTATACAAAAGTTTGCTCTTAACCAGACATAGCCAGAAAACAGTGGGTGGGGAAGGGTAAGTTTCAAAGGTATGAACATAAATAAACATTTTTCTTACTTTGAACTCATAACTTTCATGGTCTAAAGGGTGCAAGGCACAATGCAGTTTTTTATAGTGTTGGTCCAGTGGATGTTCTGGGCTTTGCAGCTCGGTCTTTACCAGCTTAATGGCAATTTCAATGTCTCCCAAAGCCTGACAAGATGAGATATAGAATCAATATAGGAAGAGCCTGGGATAAGAGATTTAATACTTGCCAATCCACACATCTCTCACCTCTAGTAGTTGTATTTTGTCTGACAGTTCTTTCTCTGTCCGGATTAATGGAGGAGTACGGAGTCTAAGGATAGAGATATAGCCCATAATAAGTCTCTGATCTGTGGCACATGACTAAAAATTAACAGACTAAAGATAGGTCATTTAGAAAAAAAGATATAAGAAAATGGGGTTTTTCTCTTGAGGGAGGGAGAGAGAGAGAGAAAAATCATTTTGGTTCTGTATCTATTCAAGATGATCATTTCCTTAGAAATTAAAGACTGAGTAGAAGATCAAAATGAAGTAACAGCACAGGCCTTACCCAAAGTCATGTGGGATCCTGGTGTAGAATTCATTGCATGCTTCCACGAGAGCTCGTCCTTGCTGGCCAGCCCGAATACAGTCCTCAATCTTCTTAAGAGACTGGTAACCTGCCTTGATTTGTGCCACTGTCAGCTTCCCTGCAGACCCAGAAAGAGATCAGACTCCAAACTATCCTGTAAACTACACTTATGCCCTGCCCAACACAGACTCTCACCTTTCAATTTTCAAAATAGACTCTCCTCCCTCCACACAGCCCCTCACCCCAAATCTTTTTCTTCATTCATATCAGCAAGTTTTCAATCATGATAGTGATGAAAGATCCCATTAAAGGAAAAGGAAATATGAAGAGAGAATGTAGGATAGAACCTGAAGTCCTACCCAGTGGGGCTTTCTTGGTATCATATTTCATTTCTATCATCATCTCTTCCATGGCCTGGACATTACAGATCAGCTTTATTAGCTCTTGTACACGAAGATCTAGCTGTGACTCTGGTTTCAAGGGGGATTTAAGAGATTCCTTTTTTTTTGTTTCTTCTTCATTCTATAGCCAAAATAAAAATAATAAAATCTAAAAGAATCTATTGTATTTTAAGCTCTCAGCAAGTACTGGCTGTACAATATTCCTGGCAGGCGAACATCTGCCTCTATTTGAACACAGGCCCATACCATTAAT